AATATCAAAATCCGGCGAAAATTGCGGAATCCAAAAATCAAAGAACACCTCTGGAGTTGCCTTTCTGAGGCTTTCGATCGATACCTATATCGTGAAAATCAGATATTCATAGAGGGTTTTTGGGGTTTAGGTTCTGCCAGATATTTTATTTTTGAAAATTCTTCAGATTTCTTATTTTGATTATTATTATCATAAATTTGTTGTATTGAAATTGAAATATTTATTTTTTATGAATTTTTTTAATTTTGGGTTTCGAGAAGATCATATTGGCCAAAATTTATCCGGAATTTGTTCAAATAAGATTAGAAACACATAATTTTCCGTAAAGTAGTTTTTGATATAAGAAATATAGAAGGGAAAGGCTAGAAAGAACATAAATTCACTTTTTCATCGAAAAGAGTCACTCTGATACGAAACATTTGCCGGTTTTTAGAACTCTGATGACGATACTGTATCACTGGATATTCAAGTCGTCGAAAAACGGGTTATTGAGCCGGCAAAAATCGAGGTAGGCTATCAATATAATTCAATATAATAAAAATAGAAATATCAAATTGATTTCCATTACTGCAATTTCTTGATTTTTTGATTTTTGATTTCTTGATCTGACTGACAGGAAAACCTTGAATTTAGGTAGCCTCCGTGGCGTACATGATCATCTTCGGGTCGAGCGCCAACAATTTTGTGGATGGGATGTCATTAGGTAATTAGAGGAATTAAGGAAAAGTAAGGAAATTAAAAATTGCAAAAAAATTGTTACTCATTGTATACAAATTTTTCTATTTTACCCCAAAAATTTTCGAAACACAGTTTTTTAACCTGCGGGCAGCATTTTTCTGGGCTGTAATAATCTAACTTTACAAAGTTTTATTATAAAAAATCAATATCGAAAATGCTTGTTTTTCTAGACTTTTCGAATCACAGAAATAGCATCACTGAAGAAAACCCAGATTATTTAAGTTTTTCTCAACCTGTCAACAATTTTTTTCGAAACATGGTTTTCTAAAAAAGTTTACTTTTTCTGTATGTGCTTACCAGAAATTTTTTGGAAACACTTGTTTTTCAACAGATTTGATAATTAATAAGGAAATCTTTTCAGCAATTAAAAAACAAAACATGGAATAAATAAATTTTGTAATATCGAATGTCTTTTTCTAGGAGCCGCCTTTGCCGATAGTATCGTTGGTGGACTGGGTATCGGGACGGCCGTCTTCTCCGAGCAGTTCCCACAAGAACTTGGTACGATTTCAGGCTACAGTAACCTCTGGAGGACACATATTCGGCAGATTTATCGTATTTTCCATTCGAAATTCGTCACGCACTATTTTTCAAATCGATTTATATCACGAATTTCCGCTCTGATTTGTTGTGGCCTTTAAGGAATTATTATATTCCGCGTGGTATCGTGCTTTCATCAGCTGCTTAAACACATTTAATTTATACGGGATTTATTTTTATTTGCTGTATGTTGGGCTGTATCACGAGACGGATTTTTTTCATGGATTATCCTAGATTCACCAGTTTTTTTTGTATGGAAAAAATTGCAACATCATTTTTAAAGAAATTTCAGCGCTAGATTTCTGCAAAGGATGGCTGCTAGCTTCCGCGTGCCTATCATTATTTGATTAATTACGATTACGCTAAAGTCCCCGAATCTACTATTCCAAGTTATTGAAACGCCATTTTTCAAATTCAATTGAAATCGAGTTTCCACAAGGACGTTGGTTTCCTGCTCTCCTTGCCCTCCATACTTCGCATTTACATAATTTACTTCGACGTTTAGCTTTAAAATGTCAGTTCTAAAAAAGCTACCGTAGTTCTAGAAGTTTTGTGTGCAAAATTCTTTGGGATTTCGTATTGTAAAAAAAAATTCCTACCCGAAATTTATAATATTTTCCGCTGGGGATTATTGAAACACATTCCTTCAATCAGGACATCGCAACCTTAGCGAGAGGCGACAAAAAGAGAGAGGGAGAGAGAGAGAGAGAGAGAGAGAGAGAGAGAGAGAGAGAGAGAGAGAGAGAGAGAGAGAGAGAGAGAGAGAGAGAGAGGGGGGGGGGGGGGGAGGAGGAGGAGAGAGGGGGGAGAGAGGAGGGGAGGGAGGAGGGGGGAGGGGGCGAGAGAGAGGAGAAAGGAGAGAAGGAGGGGGGAAAGAGAGATACATTCCCTTTCAGGTACCCTGGCCATCCTGGTGAATTCCGGCCTCGGCTTCCGGAAGGCCCTTCTCTACAACATGATCCCGATCGTTTTGTCGTACATTGGATTTGCCGTCGGTGTACTACTCGATGAGGTATATTCATACAAATTTAAATCATGGATTCACGCTTTTTCAGGGAAGTGGGTTACCGCACAAAGGATTGCGTAATCGATTACGACACAATAATAGGTGACGAGGCTGCGCTTTGCGTGTCGCGGCGCGTTAACTTATATCGAAAATCCATAGCCAAGAAATCAATAGATTGACTTGCCCTTTCCTTTAAAGGTCTATGAAGCCGAAAAATAACGAACATGAATTTTTAAAGATGTAATGAATATCTTAGCAATACTTAGTTATAACTTTGAATTATAGTGTTTCAAATATCACTCATTATCACCAAATTTTGGTATATCTATTAATGTGTTCAGATCGGTAATATTTCAGGTAGACGAGGGATACGATGACTACATCTTTGCCGTCTCCTCCGGCATGTATTTGTATATATTCCTCGGCACGCTGGTTAGTTAAAGTCTAGCATTTACAAAAAGATGCGTTAAAAAATAATATTATTTAAGCAAACAAAAAAACCGGAGCAACATAATTAAATCGGCCTTTTCGAGAAAGCAGGAACGCAGGAATCTAACTCGCCATTAACGCGTAGTTTTTCCACATGAATCCAGATTTTTTCGAAACATATTTAAAAAATCATTGCTTTTTTTACCTTGAATCCTAATGCCAAAAAATCCTTAAATTAAACTTAAATAAAAACCGTAGCGCATGCCTAAATAATTAAAAGACTACATTATTTGTTACGGAACATTAGCCCGTCTCATTCTGTTGGGAAAGGGCCATTTTTGCAACATTTTTTAAGAAAAAACATGTTTCGACAAAAACAGACGGATTTACGATTTTCATCTAATTTTGATAAAAATCCTTGAGGGCTAAATAAACTATAGAATCAAACTGTTCAAAATACCTTTACCAAAATGCTGACACTCTGCCATTCAAAACATAAAAAAAGACATTCCGAGAAGTTGCGGCGAAAAAACACACGAATATCATTCATTTTCCGGCCGGCGGCATCGAAATTTTTGAAACATAAAAATTCCACACAGCTTGAACAGTAAAATTTCGTAATTATATTTACGAGTGGACACGCTTTTATTAAATTCACCGAAGACTCGTATTGCCATCGATTTTTCTCACGTCAGCATGAAGATTTTTTGAAACATTTGAACTGTCGAGTTTTTAGATACCAGAAATTCGGGAAGCCTGTCACGAATTGGCGAAAGAGGATCTACGCGAATCACTCGTCGTAACATTTTTGCAGGTAAGCTAAACGCAACTTTCAAACTTTTTAAAGACGAATTTCGAAATTTGAATATTTCTTGAGATAGAGAATCGGCAAGAGATAGATTAAAAGAGATGAAGTAATTAAACTGGTATGTTGCGCTGTCTAACGCCACGTTTTTAAAACATAGTTTTGAGTGAGAAACTCTGTAAAGAAAAATTCTGTATTGTTTAATCCCCAGCCCTTGAAATGTAATTTCTAAGCGTATTCGATTTGTTAAAACATTTTCTTTTCGGAATGACGTAAAAATAGCGACAAAATTTCTGGACAATTTGGTTTTCAGCTCAGGTATTCGAACATACGACCACATCGATTAATGTCTAACCACCCCGCTGCAAGTAATACAGTCTCGAAACACTTTTTTGTCGTTTAAAAAACGTTAAAAATTAATTTAGTTTTCGATTCGGCTTTGCACAAATACATTAAAAAATGGATAAAAACTACATTTTCCTTTCCTTTACAAGCATATTTTAAGGCTATTTCCAGGTTTAGCTTAATTTTATCGAAAAAACGGTATTTTCCACAGCCTGAGGTACTATCACTGTCTCGCACATAAATTGGCCAGAAGAAAATAAATTTTTACCGACCAATCAGCGAAACATCTTTCCACCACCCTGGCCAGAGGAGGCCATCTTGAATTTCGATCTCTATATGTTTAAATTTAAACTAAATTGAATCAAATATTTTAGCGTTAACTAAACGAAGACCGTTAACTTCTTTTATCAAAACTAGTAAAAAGCTAGGCCTAGTTCCGATCGATTTAGGCGCCCTAAAAATAAGTCAAGGAAAGTTAAAATGAGTTAAAAGATATGTATTCAAAGAATAAAAACAACATCTATAAAAAAAACTTAAACAGCCTATCGTATCCCAAAGGAAAAAATAAGAGTATTTTAAAAAAGGATATTTCAGGTGGTGGGCATTGCCGTTGGTGTGGGATTCCTGTTTGTGATGGGCGAGATGAACAATGAGGACATTTCTTGAGAAAATCTTACAATTAAAGTCCGTAATTTACAATGATCGTGTGGCCAAATCGTAATTTGTTTCTGATCACTCATCGAAACACGTTTTTCATAGTCTTCGAAATTTCCACGTAATTGCCCCTCACAAATTCCCCTTCTAATCTCTTGCCTTGAAACACAATTTTTTGGAAATTTTGTGCTCAGACTCCTCCTTGACTCCCGTGTGCTCACCACTTTGACCTTAATTCTGCTTCAACAAACGGGTCCTGTGTTGTTTGATTTGGCTTTTGGCTAATAAAGTTTGCACTTTTGCTTATTTTTGCCGTTTTCAGATTTTTATGGCGATTGGGGCAAGTTATAGATTCTGGAAAAATGTTTCATCGATGAGTTAGGCAATTTGATGCGGCATAATCAACACTGCGAAGTACGTAATAACGATGTAAGCTTTATCAAAAATCACAATCAATCAGTGAAACACTCGAAAATGTTGCTATTTCTCTCGACTCGGTGTCTTCTTATCGGGACTGACAGCTGCTGCCGGCTCGGCCGATTTCCCGGGTGGCTGATCGAGCTTGATCTCGGCAACTAAATGAAAAGAATTAATACTCAAATTTACCTCACTTAAATTGTATGAAATCTTAAATTCTTGTTAAAACAACTTAGATTAATATTTATTACGCTAATGAAATATGTCAATTTCCAAAATGCACTCGCAAAAAAGCGTGTCTTAATCGAAAATAAATTAATCGAAAAGAAAAAGAATTAATTTTTAACGATCTTCTAAAAAAGCGTTTCATGATTCATTAAATTTATTATACATTTTTCATCATCAAAAAAAATTTTATATTACGACTTTAAAGGGATGCCGACGGCATAGTCAATTGGTTACGCGCGGGAAAGAAAATGTCTCTGCCCCTCTCCCCTGGGCGCGCTCTCTCCCCTGTTGGCTACTTGCCAATTTGTTGATGAGGGGGGGGATCGACACATGCCGTCCGCAGCCCTTTAAAGTTTAGAAATACAAATGGTAATTTCACAAATTAGCCATTTGTTTCAATTGACTTCTTTTGAATCCATCTCAAACATATTTTTCGTAAAAAAGAAAGACAATAGCTTTTTAAATTCGGGCATTTTAGAACGATTTTTTAATGCCCGCATAAATTCAAAAAAACATAAAAAGTTTCATCACAAAAGTAGCACGATTAAAAAGCAATAAGAAAGCAAACTAAATTGGAAAATCCATCATCAAACTGGGATGTGTCCATCATTAATCGATTTTTTACCAGGGTTCCATTGAACGTCTTTGAAACATATTTTTTGCAAAAAAATGGCAATGCTTTGAATGTCAGTTGTATCTAAGTTTTAGGCCAATTTAATCAATTAAAACAAAAAAAAAATTAAGAGCGTACAATGCTTGCTCTCGGGCTGCCAATCCCATGGATATTCCTGGCAGCCATTCTTCTCGACGGCCTTTCGCAGCATGCCAACCATTTGTTCGTAATGGGGAAGGTCACGGTATCTGAAATTGGAGGTGGGTAGGCTAGCAGTGGTTCTTTAGGAAAACGATAGCGACAGGCTAGCAGTGGTTCTTTAGGAGAAAAGGCAAGCTAGCAGAAACCATTTGCTGGCTAGAAAATACAACCCACTGCAGCTGATCGATATATTTCATGAGCACCACATATTCGCGAGGGCATCCCCCAAATAGGATGGCCATCTTTCCATCGGTTCGGGCCTCGTTTTTCATGCTGAAAATGGATGGGAAAATAAAAATAAAGCTAGTTTAAAAACTATAGAAATAAGAAAAGAAACTAGCATTACACTAAAATCTCCTCGTCCTCCGAGAGGTGCTTCCACGGCAGCCCGTTCGTCGTCATCTCGATCTGCAAAAACAACCCCATTCTATGTTCTTTTAAGGCGTCGGCTACTTGAATCATACCCCCCCCCCGCTAATGCACTAGCTCCTGGAAAAATATACCAAGATTAGCATCAAATAAACGTTGGTGCAATTTAGCCAAAACTCGAAAAAATAATTCGCACAGGCCAATCAAAAATTTTCAAAAATAAGTGTTTCGCATTTTTTGGGGATACTTTGCATTCGCTAATTCTTAATTTCGGCGATGGAGTAGTTATTCTTTGGCCCGCCTAATTAAACCCGCGTAATCGATTACGCAATTGACATGCGCGCGTGCCCGTCACGTAATGTGATTCCGATGAAATCTCTAGATCGTCAAGCCCATTCGTGCCTTCCACGTCCCTTTAAAAGTTTAGCCGGGTTCATTTAGCAAAAATAAATGTTTCACAATATTTTGTAGACACCTAAACCTAGGGAATATTAATTTTATCCGAGCGCGAGATATTTTTTATCCCCAAAATAAAAAAATGGCGTACAGCCAAGTAGAGCCACATCTCCAGATCGTCCTTCCGGCACTGCTCCATTAACAGGTGGGCCGACAGCGGTGCGTATCTTAAAGTGGCAACATATCATCTTTATGCTTTAAGCGCTTTTTAATTGTTAATTTTATCTAGTTTACTCGCCAATTTATGTTTCGAAGCACTTTAGTTGGTTCAAAAAAAACCTCTGAAAAATCAATTTTTCATCCAATTTGAGATTTCCCGAAAAAATTACAGAATTATTGATGACGATCATGGAGCTTCGAAAAATGCGTTTTCTTGCAAATTCGAAAGTCCGCGTTTCAACCAATAGAAAAGTCAAGGTCTTTTTGGAAGCGTGATAAACTTAGCAAATTTACAAAATCACCATAACCTCTCACTTGGCAAAAAAATATTTAATACACAACCTGCGGGCCCATTAATGCATTAGTAGAAGGGTTATTTCATCTATACACTATTTTTGGAATATTTTTAGAGGTTTTTTCGCCTTAAAAAATGTGTGGCCTTAAGTGCAGTATCTGTATAAAAACAATGGTTCACCAAATTTCATAATCTCCGAAAAACTTTAAGTGGCTAGTCCTTCCAACGTTCAATGCAGTTCAATATTTTTAGCTCTTTTTATGTTTCAACTAAAAGTGAAGTTTCGGGATTTTTCTTGTATCAAATGGCCAATCCCCCGTTTCGCAGGTACTTAATTTCGTTAATTTCCAGAATTGGTGTTTTTACCACATGAAAAAATGTGTTTCGATTATTTCCACAATCCACAAAGCCTTATTTTTATTAATCCGCCTCACGGTCATTTGCGAGATTATCATCCTGATCCCTTACCTTCCAGTACCGCGAAAAGCGGCCACCTGTCGTGGCTCGCGTATCTGCCCTCCCGGTTCCGTGAATTTCCGCGCCATTCCAAAGTCCAGCATCACAATCTGACACGAAAATTCACGGAGTTTTTTTTAATTGAACGTCTAGAAAAATTATTGGAAGCAACATGCCGTGAAAAAGTATAATTTTCGAATTTCTATACCACCCAAAAAACCTTGGAACATTTTTAAAAAGATTGAAAATCCTGAAACCTTGAAATCTCAATTTTGCGGCGGCCAAAACAGGGTACTGGGGGAAAAAAAGGGGGGGGGGGGGGGGGAAAATAATTTTTTTTCTTCAAAATAAATTTTTCCAGTTATTTAGTCAATTTTTGAAGTTCTATCTTCTTTGGTACATTTTTAAATAAAAATTGTTTCATAAATTTTTAAACAAAAAATTAAAAATTTTTCTCAACTTCAAATATAATTTTTTAACCTTTTTATATCAAAAAACTTTGTAAAATTTACAAAGGTCTACGCTTATGTTTTGCCAAAATCCTATGTTTATCCATTTACCGAGAGTAAATTGTCTGCCCCCCCCCCGCTAACAATTTAGCACCAAAACAATATCTATCCACCCTTGCCCCCTTTAATAAATTTTCAATAAGTACCTTTTTCGGGTCTTCGAGCCCGACGGCAAAATTTGGAGGTTTTATGTCGCGGTGAAGGTACCTGAAGCCCAGTCTTTTTACTATCGACATTTTTGAAAATAAAAAAGACCCACTCGAAACCGTGCATTTGCTGGATGGCCTTGAGACATTGGATCGACACCGAAATCGCACAGCCCAACGACAGCATCTGGCGGCCTTTCGGCTTGGCTTTTCGGAGGTCCTGGAGCGAAATGCAGAGATTTTCCAGACATGTACAAATTGCTTTTAAAAAATTGACTCGTTTAAAAAGCGGTTTGCCATAAAATTTTAAGCTTTTTCGAGTGCGGGAAAGGTTTCAGATGCGCAATAAATATTTTGAACTTTACGGAAAAATGTTTCAAAAATGATCAGTCGTACCCAAAAATATTTTTTGCTAGTCCGATAATCGACGTCGCCGCAAATCCTTTTTAAAGCGATGCCAAGAAAAATATATAAAATTCCATTATTGCGTTGTACGGGTAAGGCTTTCGTAAATACCTGAAACCCAAATTTAAAGAACCCGATGTTCTTGGTGTTTAGAAAGAATGTTTCTCGAAATTCCCAAGCTTTGCAATTTATTTATTTATTAGTGTTCACTTTGTGACTATCACTGCAAAATTCTGTCTTTTATATATCGTGCATTTTCGATATATTCGATATCTATTGTCTATATCAAACTGGATTTTGGGCTTTAAACTTTATAAAAATACAGGAAACGTTTCAAAACGGTGAATGAATTTTCAAAATTGGTTCAGAAGAACGTTTGAGTGTTTCAAGGATACCTGCAATTTTGCTTTTCTTAAAAGCATCGATTCTGAGGCGTTTCTTCAGTCAAAAATACCCAAATTATTCGTAGACAAAATAAACGCTATCGATTGGGTTTTAAAATCGAGACAATAAGTAAATTAGAAATACCTCGTTTTTATTCTTCCCACGGGCTGTTTAAAAATTTGCTGTACATCCCGCCTATTTTCTTCTCAAGATTCGGGAGATGTATACTACGTAGTAATCGCCAAAATTTAAAAGCTTTTCTGGCTGTCAAAAATTTTGCTGAAAACAAATCGATTACGCCATGTAAATAGCCCATGTATGGGCGCATAAATGAAAGCGCAGCAATTGGAGTGCGGCGGAATGAACCGTGATTTGAACAGTCGCGTACATGGAGCGATGGTCCGACGAGCGTCATCACCAAAAAGTTGAACGTGTCCCATTTGCCGGCGTCGAGCAGCTCGCAGAAGTGGGTCGCGCGCGCCCTTTTCGCCTGCAAATTTCAGATCTGGATCTTTTTGAAAAATCATGTTTCAAGATATCAACATTTCATTCCCCACAATTCCTCACAATCAAGAAAAGTTTTGTGACTTCTGATTTTCTCATAACTTCATGTTAGAAATATGTATAACTTTATTTTTTCCGTCCTAACCTAGTGCCCTTTTCTGCGGTGATCTAACTAACTCAGGAATTTGGGGAATTTCTTATTCGTATTTTAAAAAATGTGTTGTCTTGGCATGCCCAAGTAAAGGCTATTCTTAATTCGTCAATCTGCACCGGGCAGAAGTTGCGTTAATTTAATTAAACCAAATTAATTAGCTACTACGCCGCCCTGTCCTTTTTTTTACAGCCTAGCGTCGATTTTTCGGACTTTATAGCCCCAGTTAAACTTTCAATAGGCGTGTGATGGAGCAAAAAACTGAGAATTCGATACATTATTCTTCTCAACGTTCCATAAATTTCGTAAGACTCTAGTTTACCCCCCCCCCCAGCCCAAACTTTTCAGCATTAAGTCCTATTAATGCGTGGAGTATCTCAAGATGTTCGCCATGGTCGAATTACTATAAAAAGTTGTTTCCTTACATCAAAAATTGTTTGAAAATTTTTTATAACAATTATAAGTCAGGGGTTTTCTTTCGGAAGTATCGCTAAAAAGTTACGGCTGGGGGGGGGGGGGAGTAAACTAGAGTCTAGCCATAGATTTTTTTTATTTATGGTTTTTATTCAAAAATTTTTAATCGCGGGTTTCAAAAAATAGCATTTGGACCCGTGTCCAGAAATCTCCAATTATCTGTTGCTGCTCTTATTTTCAGGTTTTTTTAACTTGGAATCTCTCCCTAATATGATATTCTGTTCTAGGGAAAATTTTATATTTGCGCCGAGTTTACATGGTTTTCAAAACCAAATGTGTTTCAAAAACTATCCACATTCATGCCTCGAGAATGGGTTAATTCCTTCCTTCTGAGTGAGTTTCGATATGGTAAGAGTTTACTTTACCCCCCACAGCCGAAGGGTCTCAAAGTTGTCGGTATTTTCGCTTATTTTGTCGGGGTTTTTGCAACGCCATTCGATAGAGCGTCGAAAAATATACTAAGACTTTGAGGCTTAAGTGCAGTTTTACCCCCAGCCCTAACTTTTCAGCCATACGTCCTATTAATGCGCCGAGTATCTCAAAATGTTCGCCGTGGTCGGATTACTATAGGCAAGTTGTTTTCTTACATCAAAAATTGTTAGAAAAATTTTGATAACAATTATAAGTCTGGGTTTTCTTTAGTTAATTTTTGCTGTTCCAAAGTGCGTTTTCGTATCTCGGCTATCTTTTGACGTACAGAGCTGTTAATAGTACCAAAATGTAGCTCTTGCTCTGGAGAATAAGCCTACAGTACGTTTGAGCCGAAAAAAAATAGCGGAAAATAAAAATATTTGAGTTTTAGACTCCTAGTACATCGAGCATAGCGGCTTAATCTTTTCAACTTTCAAAATCTTGTAAAAAAATTTTTAGCAATTTTTGCCGCAAGAAAACAACTTTCTTATAGTAATTCCACCACGGCGAACATTTTGAGATACTCGGCGCATTAATAGGACGTATGGCTGAAAAGTTAGGGCTGGGGGGGTAAACTGCACTCTAACCGACTTTGAATTTGAGCCTACAATAATGTAAAATAAAAAAGTTATGGCCAAAAACTTCCGGCTGGGGGGGAGGGGGTAAAGTAAACCGTCGCCCTCGATATTTAATCGGTTTAGAATTTAATGACATTTGCTGATACAGAGATCGCTTATAGGATAGGAGATTCATATGTGTGTTTCAAAAAATTTCGTCTCGTCGCCAGTCGAGAACCTCGCAATTTCCGATCCAGTGTTTTCCAGATTTCGTTTAAACTTGTCTTCCAAATTCCATTATCTAATTTCGGTGATACACGAAATGACGTACGGTCTGCAAGACGACCACCTCCATCTTCATGGGTCGAATCGTCGCCGAGCACGCCTCGATTTTCATCGCACTCTCACGACCCGATGGATGTTTCACCTCAATTACAGCCTTGAATGAAGCCGATGGCCAGAGTATGCAAGCAACGAGGGAAGGAACTCCAGGTCACGGAAAGGCGAAAAGATAGAAAAATTGATAAAGCCACTCAAAGTTCCCGGAAAAAACCATCAAAAATGTCTTAAAATAATTCTAAAATTTTTCACACTTTTACACAATTTTTGGATATAAAACCTCTATAAAAATTTACAATTTCCGCAAACTTTTGCCCTAATGGAGGTATGAATAATAGCTAGAAACGCCAAAATTATTGAATGTAATTTATGATAAAGAGCTACAAACTAAAATTGGCACCTTGTAGACGGCGCCGAAGCCGCCCTCGCCCAACTTCTTCACCACCTCCCAGCCGGCCACCTTCTCGCCAAGTTGCAGCTTCTGCACGGCGGCCACCATCGGAAGCGGAGCGCCTGGAAAACACTTTGTTTTTCGGGGCTGAGAGGCCGAAAAAGTCTTGTAGAAATTGGGCAAAGCAACATCTATTAAAACCAGCGAAACAGGATTAAAAGTGTATTATGTTGAATCACAAACAATGTGGAATTCAAGCAGATTATTAATTCAGCCGCGGCCTAATTTTAGAATTTTTTCGAAACATTGTGATTTCTATAATCTGGTTTAATGTTTTACGACCAAACTCGTCATTTGCGAAACATTGGAATTTTCGAGTATCTCACTGATTGTTTCAGAAAATCACAAACTAACGCTACCGTACCCTTTGGCTTTCCCCCCTCAGGAGATGGAGCTTCGGGAGATCCAGGGGACGCCGCTGCCGCCATCACTTTTCCTCGCGTAATCGACTCGATTTAGGTGAATAAGAATAAGAAGAAGAACGAATAATCTGTTTCAAGTCTAGAATAAGAAACGCCGAGTGGCTGACAAGTATAAAATGGGCATTTCAGCCCGTTCCAGCAATTTAGGGCGTAATTTCGATGCAAAGCATTGTTTTTCCGGGATTCAAATTCGCATTTGATAATGGACATTAATGCGCGAGTAAAACTTAATTTTCGTCGCCTCCTAGCCCCCCGTTATTGCACCAGAACAACTTCAGAATTTTTAGAAATTTTTTTTAGGGCTTCACCAAAAAAAATAGAATTTCCGACGGCTGTACTTCTTAATGAACCCTCTTCTCCCCGTGAACGACAGAACTTTAAAGCATACCAAAATGTAGTCGTCAATTTTAGCAAAATGATATGAAATAAATCGTAAATACTATAGTAATGATAGAACAATAAAAATTGGATTTCTAGACCCAATCGGGAAGACTGCAGAGGCGTTCAAACAATATGTTTCACGCCTGCCCGATGCTCCGAACTAGCATTAAAACATAATCGATTATTCGTGATGATATATTTATTTTTCTCTACATCAGGCAACCGTCAACTAAAAAATCGACAATTCCATTTTTCGGTCACCGGAGAGTGCGGTACTCGGTTTTCCTGCTATTTGTGGCTGTTTATTTTTATTTATTTCGAGCTGAAAATTCTATTGATTACATATTAGTATATTTTTTGGTTGCTCGATCGATTGGTATAAAAAATGTCGAAAAATATCGGAAATTCCGAAAAAACTTTTTCCCGGCCCCTGATCTGTTCTCACCGTCCAAAAATCGCCGTTTTTATTAAAAAAATCAGTTTCACTTTTATCTGACCGTAAGTAGGTGGGCTTGGAAAGGACCAAATAATTTTTTCGTCTTTTTTTGAAATTCATCCCGCTTGAAAACATGTAATAAAAGCCCAAAGTTATGTCGTCTGTCAATTATCCCTAAAACATTTATTTTTTTTGGCTCGTTGGCCATCCCAAAAACCGAATATTTACGCTGACTTAAAAATTTTAATGTTTACACTATTTTTTTACTTCTCCTACTTCGCGCCATTTCTATTGAAAGAAATAATATTTATTAGAATTCAATTAAAATTGAAGAAACAACAGAGTTGATGCACTAATGACGGGTAGACTTTTTTGGGGTAAACCTGTCATTCAACTCGACGACATTCTTGTATTCCCAAATTGGATGGTCAATGGATCGGATCTGGCATTTGTGCGGCGCTTTGCAATCTGAAACTTTTCAAATTTTCATGAAACCAGGAGCTTTCGCGTTAGCGGGGGGTTAGCCTGAACAATTCAACTTTTTAAGATTATTCTCGTCGTATTCTAATCGAAATCGAGGAAGTGTTTCTAAAACATTTTTTTTGCTATTTCTAAGCGTTAATTTTACTAATTTTTATTAAAAAATACAAAAGATGGGTGTGTGAGCCAAAAAAAACACTTTTCCGAAAATATTAACATTTCTAGGAACGTTTAGCGTTTTTTACATCGGTTTTTTTCATTCTAGTGAAATTTTATTTTTAAAGGGGCTCAGAAGTCAAAATTCGTGCGTGCCGAGAAGTGCCAAAAAAGTGGTTTGATTGCGAAAAAACGTAAAATGTTTGAGAAAAAACGAATTCTTTTTGGGGCAAAAACGACATTTTGATTGCGCGGCGATTACATGTCGTAATGCCTTGTAAGGCACCCAATCTCTTGATCTCGGTGATTCTATAGTCAATTTTGATAATTTAAAAGTCTGGAATGATCAAAATTCGATGAGGGTTCCAGAAATCGTGTCAAAATTTTGAAATTCAAGCGTTTTCACGTCGAAACAGAGGCAAAAGATCATGCGGCGCGGTCGCGTTGCGGCCGCATCTGGCTCTTTGCCAGAAATCACAGCAGGGGGCCGTGGACCAGATTTCGGAGCCCCTTTAAACATTTTATTTTAAAGGGACGTTGTCAGAATTTTCGGCTTTCAAAAATTAAAACTACCGTAATAATCGGAGAGCAGCTCGACGATGAAGATACGATTTGCGCCCTTGCGTAGAAATGGGGATGGCACGTAGAGGGTACGCTGAAAACATCGATTTTTAAAGGGACTGGGAAGTGAAACCGAGCCAGTAGTTTTCATAAGTCAAGCACTTAAACCTTAAACAATAAAGTATGGCCAGTTTAATACTAAATTTTGTGTGTTTCAGAAAAAATTTATAATTAATGTATTTATTTTAATTTATTGTAAGAATTTTTCATAATTAATGTATTTATTTCTATCTATTCGGAAGCCTAATTTTACCACGATTCCAATGTTATAATTTTTCAGACCTTGCTTTTAAGATAAAACATGTTTTTCGCTTTAAAAATCTTAGAATTGGGTTAAAAATACAATTAAAATAAGCTATCGAAAATCAATAATAAATTAAGTTTCATACAAACCTGCGGCCCGACATTCCAATATCTTCCCAAATGATGGCCATTAATCAGGATAAACCCCTTGCCCCAGCCCGTAAAATCGATAAACGTATCGCCGACGTCGACGTCGTTCACCGAGAATACCCCCGTGTAGACACCCTCGAGGATTTTCTGAAAAATACAGCATTTCATGAATTTTAACCTAACTTAATTATAAATAACTAAACGTACATTATTTTGGCCATTAGCCCTCAATTTCTTCATTCTTTTGAGCGTTCGTTCGACCCATTTCTGCCCTTTCCCAATTCGAATACTGCACGTCGTCCAGTTTCGTACTTCAGTACCGTCGAGGAGTACCGGGCCAAGGATTCCCTAAAAAATGGTTTAATTTAAATTAATAACTTCATTTAATTTGTAGAAATTTTCGGTATCAAACGGTTCTTTCTTTTAAGCTTTTTAACGTATTTTAAAAGTTTTTTTAATTTTGAATTATGACTGCGCCCTGATCGGATTACCTATTTAAAACTTTTCTGATTTTTATTAACCTTTGAAACATGCTTTTCAAATTTTATTGCCGTAAATAGGCAAAACATTAAATATGCGCATTTAGCTTTTTTACCGAGTTTCGAAACACGAACGCTTTTTGTTCAATTCAAATTTGGATTTAATGGCCGTAAAAATTTGAAACTCGCCTACTACTATTCGCTTAAAATCGATAAAATATGGTGTAAAGAAAAAAATATAAATTGCGTTTCCTTCTCCGGCGAAGCGTTATTAATTTTATCTTCGTGTGCGCGATACCGTAAAAGTCTGAAACCTTCAATTTCAAAAGAAAAAAAAATTCGTTATTCCGAATTATTTTGAATTTTATATTTAATAATTTTTATTGGCCTTTCAAATTAGATCTTTTCGAGCGCCTATATTAAAATGCCTCCTGTTTCTAGTGCTTAAAAACTGCTAGAATATGGCGAAATTGGTAAAATACATAAAAAACATAAAATTGATATTTTCAGGCAGACAAAAGTACCTACAATTAAAAAAATTGAATAAAATTTAGGACCCGTAATCCCGAAAAATTTTGGCACATTTTTACCAAAAAACTGTTATTTATCAGCATTTTCTTGAAAATCGCGTTTTCTACATTATTTTAACGCTGAAAAACGAAATTTATTTAGGAATAGGATGGTTTGAAGGGCTATTTTTGATTGCTTTAAATGAAGCATTCCATCAAAAATTTCCTACAGTACGCCTATAAACTTATAAAATTCCGCCCATTACGCGACGATACGCATCAACACGAGCGGCCCATGGACCCAGTCTTACCAAATTTTTCGGGTCAGCAAATGCTAAACAGCAACAGTAGAGTTGCGGCAAAAGCTGATAACGCCGGTGTACTAAACGGGGAGGGGCGAGCTTGAATAAAACAGCGCAAAACCGCCACTTCCCGCCGTCCAAACGCAGCTTTAACTTATTAAATATCATCCTAAAAGTACCATCACAGGCTACAACCCCTGGATTCTTTCAATTCCCAAAAAAATATTTTAGCAAAATAATGTTTCAAAAACGGAAAAAAACTGAGAAATTCAAACCCTTTCCAAAAACTCTCCAAAACGGCTTTCCAAAAAACTTCGTACCAAATTTTCTTCAATTTCGAATACTTTTCTTGATGTATTGAAATACATGAATACTCAACTGGGTATTGCAATCGCAACAGTTTTCCGCCCCTTGAAATATTTTGAAACTTTTATATCTAATTTTTCGCGAGAATTTAACTATACAAAAAACTTTCAGTAAAAATGGCTGACGTCGATATCAGAAACACCTGGATTGAAGAAGCCGTACCGCGATTGCAATGCTTAGGTGAGAGAGTGGGAGAGAGAGAGAGGGTGAGATAGAGAGTGAGAGAATTAGAGAGAGAGGGAGGGAGGGAGGGAGGGAGAGATAGAGGGGAGAGAGAGAGAGAGAGCGAGAAAGAGGGAGAGAGAGAGGGGGGAGAGAGAGAGAGAGAGAGAGAGAGAGAGAGAGAGAGAGAGAAAGAGAGAGAGAGAGAGAGAGAGAGAGAGAGAGAGAGGGAGAGAGAGTGAGGGAGAGATTTTAAAGGCTAAAGAAACAATTTCAGCACGACCCTTCGACCCGACGCATGCACCATGCTTCAATTTGGTCATCAAAGCCTTTGCCTCGCCTAACTCGGCCGTATCCGACTTTTCTCACCGTTTTGTTACCGAAGCATACCGGTGAATAAATCATCAGAAAAATGAAGTCTCTATCCAAAAACAGAATGCACAATACTGAACGCTACCCCACGCATAAACCACTGCAGAAATCGGAACATTTTTCTGGCCAATGCAATCATCCTGAAAAACGTAAAATTCCAGTGGCTTCTTTTTTCTTGGGGTCGACCGGGGTTTAGGAAGCTAATCTTCGTGCAGATACGTATCGGGACGTAGCTAGGGGCCAAGCTCAGTTTTCCACCAATTTTTAGACGGTTGAAATCACGACAAAGTTTATTTTCGTCATCCTTTCTCAAAAATTAATTTTGCTTTACGATGCGCGCTGATCAAAATTTCTGAAACATCAATTACTAAAAAAGGCTCTGCAATCTATTTTATGCTTCGGTGTGTAATTCAGGTCAAAATCGGGTCCCAAGGGCCTCCAAGCTAAAAACCCCCACTCCTTAAAAGATGGAAAATGCCGAAAAATTTAGCGAAAATCCAAAAAAAAATTGAAAAATTGGCGCTGAATATGAAAATAAAGATAATTAAATTGCAATCTTGGCTATAGAAAAAGGTTGAAACATCATTTTTGAACCTAGAAAAACTTGGCGGCTCTAATTACCGACGATAGTCGAAACATCAATTCCTTCCACCTACCTTATAATCATTCTCGGTTTCATAGGTGAGCCGTCCCTCATTTTCCATCAAAATATTCACTTCCGAATGGTCATGGCATTTCTCGAGGGTTACGGTATGATTCGATGGGAAATGGCGGTAGAGGCTGTCCTGGAAAAATTCTATTAAAAAACAGGTTTCGAAAATGATTCCTATCGCGTTAGCCCTTGGACCGACAATTGAGAGCAGCGCTAGCATCGATTGATAACTTATTCTTTTGGTCATTATTGCTCGAGATTAATTATCGATTTAATTGTTTCTAAATTGACATCGTTGAAAACTAATGTTTCAAAAATAATAACGCTAAAAACGCAAAAAAGACCGAAACATTTCATTTTTCTTATAATACCCGAAAAATACTATTAAATTAAAAAGAATAGGTAAATATTAAAAACATAGGTAAAAATTAAATAGTTGTAATTGATATTAAATTTAGCTATATAATACAAGAAGAATTTAATTCGAAAATGCTTGACCTGATGTTTTCCATCCATAAAAACGTGCGCCCAGTCCTTGTAGCTCTCCAGCGTCAAATTTTTCCCGCAACGCGTCAGTTTCTGCAAAAAAATAGAATTGTTAATCGATTTAATGGCTTGCTACTTTAATGGAATTACTCGGCAACCGAAATTTTTCGATAGGCTATTTTTTGAAACATGCTTGTTAAACAATACTCGTTATATTTTAATTTGCTGTTATTAAAGCGAGCAGCAAAAAGCCTATAAAGATATCTTGGTTAGATTTATAGAACTTATATTACAGTCATTAAACAATAAAATAAATATCATCGAGTAATTTTTGAACTTTGAAAGTGCGACTAGTCGGGATTCTAGTAAGATTTTATCTGCAACCACTTCAGAAGCAAATATTAAGATGTCACAACTTGCACAAAAATTATTAATTTTTGAAACTAATTTTTTCAATTTACTAAAAATTACATTTTTTTGAAAAAAATGATTGGATTTTAAGCGTGGTCACGACATTTTATATTTTTCTAATAATGACCAATACGAGAAAATTGCTAAATTCTGACAACTCTCCAAAGTTAAAGATATTCTTGAGGCACAAACCCAGAATGCATCAGCTTAAATATAATTGACGCCATTTATAATGTCTTAAATACATTTAAATAATAAATAAATTTCTTAAAATAAAATCAACAAAAAATAAAAATTAAATTTTTTAAATTCATTATTAAATTACCGTAGCATAGCCCAGCAATCCCATCGAATGGTCCATTTCCTCGAAAGTCAACGGTTTGTCGGTATTTTGGCATCCTTTTTCGACGAGATCCAATATACTGCCCACGTGCTCCACTTTTATCTTGCCGACGGCGAGTTTTCTGAAAATACGCGGGTGAAACCGTCACTTTCAAAACCAGTTGAAAATGGAGAGCTGGCAGAGATTTTTGTGGAAAAATACCTACTTCGCTGCATGGATTGGTGCCGCTATAAACTTTTTCTAGGCTAATCAGGTCGAAACATCTCCCCAAGAATCTCTGCTGGTTCGCCCGGCCAACGAAGCCTTTCTTCCTCAAGGAGCTCTGCTAGCTGCCCTTGGCCCAGATTTTCACCGCTTCTCCCAGAATCACTGCTGGTGTGTCCGGCAGGCGGCTTTTTGTAGATTCCTTAAGAATATCTGCTAGCCCGTCTGGCCATTGGCTTTCCCGCTAGTCCTAAAGGATCTCCGCTAGCTAGCCTGGACGCCATACTTTTAGTTCCCCAAAAATCTCTGCTAGTTCACCAGTACCAAGGCTTTTCCTCCATTCCTCAAGTACTTCTGCTAGCTTGCCATCATTGAAAATCTCACAAAACATTACTTATTATTTTTCGGCACATCCTGAGGCTTTTGATGCCAATCTTCGAGCGATTTGATCCACGAGCGAATTGCCAGATATTTCGGGGCTAAATAGGCATTTTAGTGCATTTTTACGGCAATTGCATGACGGAATTCTACTTAAAGTATTTAAAATATATAAATAATATCAATGTAATTTTGTTGCCGAAAAAACCAATAATTAAACGGGCAACATAGTCATAAAAACAACATGTTGCGATCAACTTTTTACTGCCGGTTGTCCCCGATTTGGCAATAAAACTCAGATAGGTGAACGAATCTTTTTTAACGTTAGTAAAAAAAAACTGATTCGCGCAGCTAAGAATTTGACGAAACAACCAAGAAAAAGTTTTTAATAGAATTTAGCACCTCTCTATTTAATTATAAAGAATGAAAACATAGACGAAACGAAAGCCAGAAATAAAACACACAAATCAGCTTTGAATTAAGAAAATATGTTTCGTCTAAATTAGTACAGGAGAAAGTGCCAACTTTTGGATTCCAAGTCAACGTTTCAACATTTTCATTCATGTAAGAAAAATATTTTTTTATAGAATATTAATTACCTATAAACTAGCGTAATTTTTTATTCTATTGATGGTTATGAAAAAACTTACTGATATCCCCATCCTCTCCAATTGGCGCCGAAAAATTGTACGAGGTTGTCACCTTAAAAAAAATATGTTTTACACCCAACTAAAAATCAATAAGATTTACAAAAATTAATATAATTTATTGCCAGGGTAAAAACCTACCGGTCCGCCATATTCCGCGCCGTTCCAAAAGCCGAAGTTCGTCCCTCCGTGCGCCAAATAGAAATTGATATTGGCCCCCACCGAGTACATGTGACTACAAATTACGTTAATTTTTTGTTAAATTTATAAAAATTGCGCGATAATTATTAATACACAATTTAATTTTTGGGCTTATTTGCCAAAATCTAGCCAAAAACCATGAAATTAGGCCGTGGATTTTAAAATGTTTCAAAACTCGTTGACGGTTTACGAATTTTTGAAGCTACACTGTTTCGACGTTCAGTTGGCAATTGTTTTGACCTTTGGAAATACAAAAACAAAAGATAAAAATCTCCAAATAAACTTTGAAAATTAAAAATAACGTAAATTTTGAAAACTATATATAAAAATTTATGTAAGCCAAGCTAATCGATATTTAAAGGCCAACTTTTAGATTAAAAAGTAACACTTCATTAATGGTCCGTCCTATGACATTCAAAATTAAATAAGAAATTTAAAGCCCTTTTTATGCCGTTTAATAGGGCGCTTCGCGGCAATCGCTAGACCGCGACGCGCCCGCAACGCCTCACCTGGCGCTGCTGACAATGAGCTCATTTGAGGGCACCTCCTTCGTCGTGTCGTTCCAGCTGTCAAACCAGCCCACGTAGAACTCCGAATTTACCAGGGGGCCTGAGTTAAAATTTATTTTTACAGCAGAAACTATTAAATTAAATACTTCACGAAATTAATTCTTATTAATTAATAATAATTCAAAATTTCTGAATTAATTTTTCTTAAACTTTGGAATTTAACAGAAGACCTGCTAAAATGCGTGTTTAAAAGCTGTTAATTTACTAAAAAATCAAATATAAAAAAGAATTTTTAATTAATTAAAATGTGGAAAATTATTAATTAGTTTTTATCAAGGCTAAAATAGAATTTTGAATATTATTTTCATAGTTATAAATGGTGCATAATAAACAATTTTTTGGAAAAATAGTTAAATTTCTATCAATTGAGTACATAGTAAACTTTACCAAGTGTCCAAATTCTCCCAAAATTGCATGAATTTTACTAACTGCTATGGTTATTTTTAAAGCGTGCTTTTATATTAATTAATCTCTTGCTAAATTAATTAATTCCAATTTATTTCCAGCCATAAATTTAAAATTACCCCTATGATTCGGCGTGTGGTTGCGCTGGGCGCGAAAAGCCGCATCGATTCCCTCATTCGACTGGGGCCCAAAATCCACCGTAGTATACACGCCGGGAATCGGGCCACATTTTAGGAAACCCTCCGAACCGCCGTCCGCTGAAAAAAATTATGCTTCACCGATTGACAGCAGCAAGCACCTCCAAAATTGCATTATTTAGTACAGGATTAAAAGGGTGCTTTCGCAATATCGGGGGCGGGTGCAACGTTTTCGCTTAGGATGCATTTTTGCTATTAATTGAGCAAGTGTTTCTAGGCTTTTTTTTTACTATTTTTCTTACTATTTATCTTATTTTTCTAGTTTTTAGGAACCTTTTCTACCAAGAATTTAGTTATGTTTTACTAAAAAAACTACAATAATACTTATAATTACGCTAACAGGCATTTCTGAACTTTAAAAATAAAAAAACAGTAAATAAGACTAAAAATAAATATTCGCTTTGTAAGAAGAAGCAAATCTTTCTATGAAAAACTCCATTAAAAACCAGCAAATATAAACACCGCTTTGAATTGAAATTAAAACTTATTTTTTAGTTTAGATAATTTTTAACAAACTATTTTAACCAATTTTTTATATACAAAATGCACCAACTCGTATAGAGGACGGTGTCGTTGCCGAGTTGCTTGCGGAAAAGATCCCTCAGCCATCCCGTATATTCTGCATCACATGCCGAGAAACTACCGTACTCATTCTCCACTTGCACCTGCAAAAGTATCATATTTTAAAACCATTTAAATTTTTATTTAATAGTAAAGTCTAATTCGAAATTTCATACCATTAAAACGGGCCCGCCGTTTGCGCGCATTAACGGGCGAACTTTCGGAAGCAGCACGCCGAACCATCTGGAATTAAAAATAATTATAAATCATTTTTATTATTTGTTTTATTAACTGCCTGTTTTTTGGTATATAAATTAACATTCAAAATAACTCCAAGATGTACTTTTTATTTTTAATTAATAAACATACTTTTCGACAGAATTCGTGTATTTCGGGTCACTTGTCCGCATCTTGATCCCCTTTTCCTTCAACAGCCAATACGGCAACCCGCCGTTTTCCCATTCTCTAAAAATCAAAATTAAGTTGCAAAAATGTACTATATTTTATAATCTAAATACCAAATATTTAAATTAAATCATTTATTAAAGCAATTAACTATGTGTACTTCAGAAAAAATTAGTCCCTTAAAACCGACGCGCAAATGTAGGGGCCGACGCGGAGCAACGTGTACAGCCCCAATCTTTCGGCAATTCTGATGAACTCGACGAGGTCGCGCTGATGATCGAAGAGGTAGCTGAAGAAAAAAGGGTTAATAATGGGTACTGGTGCGTTATCGGGGGATGGGAGAGAGGTATAATAGAATATAGAGCATTTCATGTCGTTTTAACCTTTTGAACTGGCCCTAAATTGTTCAGAAAAGGTTGGCAAAGAAAGAAAAATAAATTTAGCAATGTTTGAACGTTTTTCACAAATTTATGACAGAAAACAAACAACATTTTTCGAAATCGAAAAAGTTTTCACGTTTTTTTTCATCATTCGGTGCATGGAAAAACAGGACAAATGCTAGGTCCCCCCCTACGTTAACGAACCAGCACCAAGAATAAACGAGTGGACTTACTGCCCGTGCTGCGGCTCGTGGAAATTCCAGGGTACGTAGGTCTGAATCGCGTTCAGCCCCATCGCCCGCATCCGTCGCAGCCGATCTTCCCAGTAGACGCGCGGCACCCGGAAGTAGTGAATCGAACCTAAAAAAATGAATGAAATTTCTTGTTAGGCATATGCCTCGCTTTCCTATCGCATAACGAGTACTTCAATTCTCCAAAGGATTTTACTTTCATTCCTTTCAAAATATGAAACCCATCTTTTTTGCCCTCTACAAAAATAAAGAAAAAATATGAAAAGTGTCCAACAATAAAGCTTGTCTTTAATCCGAATTAAAAGAACGAACCGGACAAATAGCGAAACGGCTGCCCGTCCAGCACAAATCGGTCATTGTCATAGTCGATGGCAAACGAAGTCGGCGTCGCTCTGAAGCTAATAAATAATAAATTATGAATTTACCAACAGCTTGTTCTTACTTTAACCCTCGCCAAGGAAAGGCTGTGCGTTCTTTCGTCTGCGTCTGAAAACAAGCCAAGCCTAACTTGGATGACAAGTTTCTTATCTTTCCAAAAAAGCATTAGTCTATGTTTTCACGCTTGCTAAAATTTGCAGCATTTGGAAAATTCCTACTGGGATAAGCTAACCGATTCACCTATTCGCCTTTAGATTCACCGCTTCGATTGGCCGCACAAACAGTCCAAAAAATAATAGAGCAATCACGGTCATAACAAGACGACCCTATTACAAGCAATTCGCTGTGAAAGCAGTCGCACTGGCTGCTGTTTGCCCCGGAGCGGCCATCTCCACGAAAATTCTAAACAAAAACATTGCCATCGGGGACATAAACTGAACGCTTCGAGGGCGCTGTCTACACTTTCCCAACATTGGGGTTGACCACGCCCTAGTTTCGCTGGAGCATAAAGCCTTACATACCCCTGCAAGGAGGTAAACCGAAAAACATTGCTTCCCCGAAGTGAAGCAAGAAACGCATCTCAATCAGCAACTATATTTTGGCCAAAATAGAGATAACTCGCGGATACAAACGATCGAGCACAAGAAACGTTAAAAGATACAAACAATACGAACAATGGATATTGATTAGTAAGTAGTATGCGAGTAACGCGGGCCGTTCCGGAAAGCGAACGATGAAATCACAAAAGTAAGCGAGTGGGGGGTTGAGTATTGAGCGAGACACTGAGGAAAGTTGAGGGCAACTTGGCTTCTTCCATCTAGTGGAGATCGGGGTGGTTGTCGTAAAATGGCTGGAGCGGAGGACGTCTGGAGCCCATCGGGTTGAAATCGGCGGGTGGCGGCAGCGGCATACTAAAATGATAATATAAAATGAGCCATCGACTGGTAGCGGAAGGAAGTAACTTCTAAAGTCCCAATCGGGAAATACAGCCTAGCTTTAAATCCATCATAGTTTTTGCCCCTAGAAAATTTATTCAAAAAGATTAAAACGATCAAAAAAACCAGAATTTTTTGGCAAAAATGCTTCAATCCGGTGAAAGTAACCCATCCATCCTAATACTATAAATCTTGAAGTTTTTGCTACTTAGCTGCCTTTCTGCCCCCCGCGAAGTCTTGTGCCATAAATTGCAAAAAGCTCCATCCGGTAAAAAGTACCTCCAGTTCAATTTGTCTTTCTCGTCAACGACACCGCCAAACGGGTCGAGATGAGCGGATGGGCGCCCATCGGCAGAGAGAATCGAGTTGTAAGTGGTGGTGCTCGAATTGGACATCTCACCCGCATTCCACTAAACAAAATCTAGGAAGAAAGAATAAAATTTACCGCCCATATGCGTTCACGCTGCACTCGGAAGCGATTTTCGTCGTTTTGAATCGGCTGCTGCCGATTGGGCGTGTAGGTCCAACTATTTTCTGTCTCCGGCCCGGCCCAGGTTTCATTCAGGTCGATGCGCGCCGGAACTCGGGGAAAGCTGCTCTGGCGCTGCGGGGCGAAGGGCTCTCGCCTGAAGGAATGCCGACTCAAGTCCATCAGCGGCACCGGCGTGACGAGAGAGTCTCCCGGGCGGATGTTCTAAAAAAAATTATACGAAATCAGATAACGCAAAAATCTCCTTGGATCCGACAAATTAATCACTTTCGACTTTTTTATCGAAAATGTAGGGCAAATGGCTATAAAGGAGTGAAGAATGTTGCGAGAAGATAAAACCAAAAATTTACCGCATTTTGCGCCAGCCCGTTGCGCCTCCTCGCCTCGATGATGCGCTGGTTGCGGAGCTCGTGGATGAACTGACAGCGCTCGGCATACTTGCAGTAGCCCGTCGCCGAGAACTTGTCGCAGAGTGTCGTCTTGTACTTTGGATGGCGACGCCCGCGAGGCTCGGAAACGCGCAGCTCGTGTTGGGCATGAGCAAATCTAAAAAAGTTAGAGTTAATAACCATTGTCAAGAAATCATACGTGCAGTCACGGCCAAACATGCAATGCCCGGTAGACATGAACGTGGAGCAGAGGGCCGTCTTGTAGGCAGACACCTAAATTTTACATACACACGAGTCTAACAAAATTCGTACCCGTCGCTTCTCGCGTTCGAATTGTCGGAGGCCTTCCTCGTCCAAGGTGCTCGTGTCGATGGCACGACCTCGCTCGAAGCTCATTTCTTGTCGTTGCGCTGTAAAGAATAAAGTAAGGAAGTAAATGAGTAAAGTCAGTAAAGAAAGACTTTGAAGAACGCAAAGAGGTAAACCTGTAAAGAACAGCCCTCTATTGAGCGCCCCAGGATGAAAAGAGTCAAAAATATTTACACATTAAGCCTTTTTCCCGACGTGTTACGGAAATAACCAAAGGGCGATAGGCGCGTTACGGGGGGCCGCCCATAGCAAAAGCAAGTCGCGAAAAATTGCGGAAAACAGCTGCCAAAAAACTAACGCTCTTTCAATGGGATTTTTAGGAAGAACATTACAGTGGGCGTTATTTACACGGGCAAAAGTAAAATAAGGCGTCCAATGGCGTTAATTACGGGTCGCCACCAACAGCGAAAGTAGACGAGCAAAATACGCGAGGGAAAGACACTAAAAAAGAGTCCCTATCCATAACATTTTGGAATGTGCACCACAGTCGTGTTATTTCCAGGGGGCGCACGATAAAATAAGGACAAGGAAATAATAATAAGAAAGCTGACGGGTTGCGACCAAACGTGAAAGCAAGAATACGAGAAAAATCGTACAAAATCAAAAATTCAAACAGCCGCTCGCGTCCCCCGCTACCGTACCACGTGCAGTGGTGCGCTTTGGAAAACCAATGTTACGGTGCAATTAGGAATGTGGCGTAAAAATTATGCGGTGGAATGGAAAGAAATCTCCCGAAAAAGGAAAAGCCTTCATTTTCTACTTGATTCGACATGCAGAACGGCCCGACGTCACGCGAAAAAACTGAAAAGGAAAAGGCTTGTTTTAGGAATTCGGAATCCACAAACGATTCTTTATAAATAAAGCTAGGAAGAGTTACTTTACCCCCCCACAGCCGAAGGGCCAAAGTTGCGGTATTTTCGCTTATTTTGTCGGGATTTTCGCAACGCCATTCGATAGAGCGCGAAAAAATACAAGAGTTTAATTTGAGCCTACAATAATGTAAAATAAAAGTATAGCCAAAAACTTCCGGCTGGGGGGGGGGGGTAAAGTAAACCGTAGCCAAGCTAGAATATGCTGCCCTGTAAAGAATGTATGAAACAATTTCAGTAATAAACATTATACAATAATTTCTTTCTATTAGGTGATCGAGCCGCCGCCGGGACTGCCAAAACTCGGAGAAGAAGTGCACAGCCAGGAGGCCAAAATCGAATACGAGGTTGGCTTTATCTTCTTCTAGATAATTTTTCGTCTATTCTTGTAGATCATCAAGGTGCTTGGCCAAGGGACATTCGGGCTCGTTTATCTGGCTCGTCGTCGTGGCGATGGCCGCCAATTCGCGATGAAGTGTGAGCACATGGCGGTCAAGCGACGAGTTAGATCTCCTGATTCCTGCTCTACTCGCCTCTGTATTTAGTTCATCAAGCTTGAATGCGGGGTTCTCGAAGCCGCCTTCAACATCCAAAGCCCCCATTTCTGCAAGGTAGCTGGATAGCTGAACCATCGGTTCTGGACTACTAGCGGTGATGGGAACTATGTAGCCTATCTCTCCGATAGCTAGCAGAATTTTATGGTGTTATAACTTTTTAAGGTACTCTCAGCGGTTTTTGAGTGTGAAAGGAAGGCTAAATTCAAGTATACGGTCACCTAGCCAAACCCAAACTTTTTATATATAGAAATGTTCAGCTCGACGAGCTGGTTCAGCTTCAGTTGAAAAAACAATTGGGAAACACTTTTGGAGCGAGATATAGGCGTCCAAAGTTTGAACACCAAAAGAGCCAAAAAAGGCCCATTTCCTTTGGATATTTCGCTTTAATACACTCAAACTTTACCTAAAAATAAGGCTTCGTGCCACCCGGGGCCTAGTCGCTTCGGAAGGGTGCGAGCTCGTACAGGGTTTCGAAATGGGGGCGCCAAGGCCGGCGAAGGGCCGGGGGCGCCCCATTTCGGAAGAGTGAGCGGCAGCCCATCCGAAGCGACGGCCCACCTTGCCTGACAATGGAAAAGCCTCACCGTTACCTTTATTTCACATTAATAGCGTTAAAAACGCCTAAAAATTACAAACATGTATTATTGCAGAGGTACGTACGAATACAGACTACACCGCTCCGTACAAAGGAGTGTCGCGTAGCCGGAACTTTCCGAAAACTGAGTTTCAAACTTTCATAACTTTCTTTATACATTTTTCCCAATGATTCTTTGAACAGATATCGGCTCTGCTCGACGATCTGCACATTTCTATGCATAAAACAAGCCTGTTTGGATAGGTGACCGTATACCTAACTAGCTAAATTTGGACCCCTATATCTCGCTCCAAAAGTGTTTCCCAATAGTTTTTTCAACTGATCCTGAACCAGCTCGTCGAGCTGAGCATTTCTATATATAAATAAGTTGGGTTTGGCTAGGTGACCGTATACTTAAATTTCCCCGAAAGGAAATAGGAGATGGAATTATTAAAAAAAGGAACTGCGGTAAGGCTCCAGATAGCCAACTTTTGTATCTCGGCCGCCTGTTCATCTACAGGTGTGTAAAGTATACCAAAATGTTCGTCTTGCTGTGGCGAGTATTTTGGTATGCTTTACACACCTATAGATGAACCGGGAGCCGAGATACGGTAGGTGGGTGTCGGCTGGGGGGGTTATCTGGAGTTTAGCCGAAACTGTCGATCAAAAGCTTCAGATTTTCATCAACTTTTACACTTAAAAACGGCGTGAAAATCTATAATTGTGTGTAATGCATTATTAGGACCCTGAGCGTAGCGCTCCGGTCAAGAATGCAAAACTGGAACAACCTGCATTTAGGTCATTGACAAAGGTGCCGTTGCTGATCGCTTCAATTTCTTCACCATGACACTGGTATGACTAAAAAAAGGGTAATAACACCTTTTAAATAGTTGGGACCAAACATCTGGCATCTGCGAAGGGACCGCAAGCATCAGCGCTTCTCCATTAACACGGCGCTGAAGGTGGCCGAACAGACGCTGCAGGCAATCCGCGATTTGCACAGGGTTTTGTTGAAATGAAACAATGAGAGGCAGATTAAGATTGGCTGGCTTCATCGCGATATCAAGCCGCTCAACTTTACGATCGGAAGGGATGAGGAATCGCACACGATCTTTATCATCGATTTCGGAATGGCCCGTTGCTTCAAGTTCGAAAAATCATCGAGCGGACTCGGTTTTTAGGCAAGATGGGAAGGAAATCCGCAACCCGCGTCTGTACTGTCCTTGGCGAGGAACCGGCCGCTATGCTCCATTGTTTGTTATGCTCTAAAACACTGCCTAGTCCCGTGCTGGACTGTTAGCGGGCGAATCCTAACTTTGAACGATTTATATAGATTTTTGCTTAGTTTTTATGTACAAAAAGTCGATAAAAAGTTTAAATTTGAGTTCATTTCAAAATTTGAAACTTTAAAGGATTGTTTGGTACTAATAGCAGTAAAAAATTCAACATTTTGCTAGCCGGCTGTACGCTAGACAGCTTTCCACCCTCGTTAACAATCCAGAGGCAATAGTGTATTACAGGACGGCTCATCGCCACGAGGAGCAGAGTCGCCGTGACGATGTCGAGTCCTGGTTGTACATGATGATCGAATTGACTTCCGGGAAATTACCATGGAAGGCATGTAAGGTATGTGAACTTTTACAGATATCATCGCCATCCTTCCTAGGGCGCCGAGCGGGACAAAATGCGGGCATTGAAGGCGGATTCACGTGATAAGCTGCGCTCTCAATTATTTGAGGGCTGCCCCGTGCAGGCTTATTCTCGGTAACTCTTCCTTCAATCATGCTTGCTCATCGAAATCGTATTGAACGCTTACAGGATTTTGACATATCTCGACAAGCTCGACTACAAGGATATCCCGGATTATGACTATGTGTGGAAGATGTTGGATATCGCCCGCGAGGTTCGTTAATCTCCAAATACACTATTGATACTATCATCCAGGAAAACGGCCTCTCGTATTGTGATCCGGTCGACTGGGACCCCAGCCAGCCTTACCATGGAGCACGATACGTGCCCGAGAGAAAAGTGGTCGACCACCATACAACCATACGCCGTTTCAGTTCGATTAATTTCCGGATGCGGCCACGCTTAGAATCTACACAAGAAGAATTAAAAACTGCTGTTGGTGTATGCGACTTTCCTCCCAATAAATTGATCACACACATTGCGTTAGTATAAATTTATTCGTTAATGTGGTGGAAACAAGGTGGGTAACACGGCAACGATGATGATTCACAAAGAAAACAAGGTAGAAATAACAACAACAAGCAAAACGAACACAAGTAGTTATGGCTGGAATGTAGACATGAGGCAGAACTGTTGCAGTCGGTTTATTCGGGCTCGCTCTCCAAATATTTCACGGGCTTGACGTCTTCTTGTTTGGCTAAAAAAACTGATTAGCACCACGTGACAGAGGAATTATACCTGTCGGAAACAGCGGCCGGTCAAGTTCGTCATGCAGCTGCCGGAAACTCGGTATCTTCAGCAGCTCTTCACCGATTCGAACGAAGGCTTGCTAAACAGAACCCATCCGGTTGAAGCATCGAAATTCATACCTCCAATCCTACAGGATCCCGGCGATAAAGCTCGTCGAAAAACTCGCGAATCTTTGGCCGTCTACCTTCTGCGGATTTTGCGAGTATCTTCTCCGGCGTGTCGATCGGTTCTTCTTTTATACAATGACGTTTGCGCGGTGGAGACAAGGCCAGAGAGCCATCGTCAATGGCTGGAGAAGGCGTGCCCACTCCACCAATCGTTTGGGAATATGTGAGCTGCTAAAATCGATCAATTTTGTATCAGCGTTCAACGATACCAGATTCTGTGAAAATGGTTGAATCATCGGCTTCTCCTCGCCGCCTCCTAACTGCGTCTCACGGACCTATAAAAAAACAGTTATTATATTAGATCTGAGTACCTCGATAGCAATGTGCCTCTTCACCGCGTTATACAACTTGGCCATGTTTGCAGCATCGCGCATCGTGAGCCGAAACCTAAGCACAACACACAACTGTTAATTCTCGAGAAAAGTTACCGAAAAAGGCCCTCCTTTTGGAAAACCAATTGCAAGTCCTTCTTTATCACCCGGCAATGTTCCCTTTCAATCGAAATCTAAAAATTACGTGTTTTTGTGGAAAATACCAAACCGATTTTAGCTGACGATCGTCGCTGCCCTTGACAATAAGACGTTGCATCACGTGGTCGACGAAAATTTGAAGATGGCGATTCTCCTAACAAAAAAACTTTAGCTGTAAAAACAAAGGCTTACATGGATCTGCGATTCGAACAAATCGTTGAGTTTTGTAGCGGTCGCCACGAAGACCTCGCTCATGATCAGCAAATCCGCGAGAACGGGTATCTGAAAATGGATGAATGGCTTTTCGGAAGCTCTCAACAGAAAGAAGTCAATCGCGCTCATTTTCAGTTTTTGATGCTGACGTTTTTCGGTTTTCGGTTTTGCGAATCCGCGAGATCGTTTGAAGCATAGAAATTGCGGAAATTTGAGAGATCCGGCCGTCGGGGATTGTAACTTATTTCATAGCTATTTCACATGATTGAGACGAAAAGCTCGAAAACTACAAATCTGCAAAAACAACATAGAAAATACCCTAAAAACACCAAAAATATCAATTTTAGACTCGAAATTGAGATGCGAGGGTCATGCGATGAAAGGCAACGTTGCAATACTATCGACGTAATCGACCGTAACATTGAACTCCTTGCTATACGGCGCTCCGCGGTTTCATTCGACTCGTTGATTTTTCGGCTTTTTTCTGGAATTTTTACCGTTTTCCGGTTGGAAAGTTTTTTGTGCTCCTTCATATAATTTCTTTTCTTTTAGTTTAGTCGAGTGATTTTCGTATTCGAGGTTGTTTTTTTCAGTGAATGCGGGCCGCTCCCACGGAAAAGCCTATAACTCCGGGCACAACAAGATCAGGCAGACGCTACGCACTTCCGATGGAGGAACCAGCAGTTCGTGCTCCGCCCCCGCAACTCAATTTCGACGATGATGAGGGCTTGCTGCTGCCTCCTGCTCTGCCTCGAATGATCCCAGCACGCGGTGAGTTTTCTGATTTTTAGGGGTTTTGACCTCCCGAGTGTTTGAGACATTGCGATATTACTTTCCCGTTCCCTCTTGAACTTGGAATTTTAGCAGCCACGCCACCTCGGCATCGTGCTCCGCCCCCGCAACTCAATTTCGACGATGATGAGGGCTTGCTGCTGCCTCCTGCTCTGCCTCGAATGATCCCAGCACGCGGTGAGTTTTCTCATTTTTCGGGGTTTTGAGCTCTCGAGGGTTTGAGGCATGGCGATATTCTTTGCCCGTTCCCTGTTGAACTTGGAATTTTAGCAGCCACGCCACCTCGTCATCGCCAACAACGCCCTCTCACTGAGCCGACCACCAACCCGACCATTCTTCGCCTATCACGGCCGAAAAACCAAATCGCAGAAAAAGGTACCGCCTTTTTGGACCGTTTCTAATCGTTCTTGTTCAGGTGAGGCCCTACGAATGGCTCGAGCTCAACACGGTGCTCAATTACTGGCAAACAAACCGAAAAAGTTCTTCGACAGCACCCGACTGAGCGACCGTGTCTACTACGAAGGGCTGAGCTGTGGCATTTTGAAGAACATTGGGACGCGCGTAATATGGTAACATTCTTTTTCTTTACTGATTATAACTTGTTTAGGGATCGGGAGCGCGAGAAGGAGGTGCGTCGACAGGGGCAGCACGGAGAACTGCTGCACAAGCTACGATCAAAACTGTGAATTCTTTGTGATTGTGTGATAAATCTTTGAAATGGAATTGCAATTGTTGCATTGCAATGCATCGGATTGAATCGCGGTTGCTTGGAATCCCGGCGGATACATTTTGGCATACGGAAGTTGTTTTGAATGCAGTGATTGCGCAATTCATCGGTGCCTTCTGCATTTCTTTACTACTCGCGGGTCGGTTGGTTTTGTCCGTTCGGGAATTTATGGATCCCGAGCAGCCTCGAAGTAATCCAGGTCTGTCGCCAACTCTGTTCGCTTGCCTGCGAATTGTTGTCTTTGAGAAGATTGCGCTTTTTCAGATATCATCTCTGAGAAGACTCAAGGATCGGTGTGTTGTTATTTCCAGATAATTCACGTGATTTAGCCTCCCGACCCTTCAAAATTGGACAAGCCGCCATTCGATGGTGCCGATGCGGTCCCCGAGGTTGCCCAGACTTTTACTCTTTTTTTTTACTCGTTGTTGCAGCCGGGTGCTCCGAACAACAAAGATGCCGTGACCGAAGACAACACGGATGAGGGCGTCTACGACGTTATCGGGCTGCACGTCGATGACTCGTTGCGAAAGTTGAAAGAGCGAAAAAAGTCTTCTCCACCGACACAATCTGCTCCGCCCTCGCCGGTCACTGGTAATTATTGCAAACTACCATATATTTGCTTTTAGCTCCGTCGCCGGCATCAGCCGAGTCAACATCTCCTACCCAACCGGAACCAACAGTTACTGCCGCCGTCCCGGAGAAGAGCACCACCCCACCGGAGCAACCAACTAACGCTGGTTCCCAAGAAAAGACGCACCACACCCTGCCACCGGAGCCAACAGTTGTCAGTGCTGTAGTGGTCCCAAAAAAGACGCCGGTCGAAAAACCGAAGGAGAGGCCTGAGAAAATCGAGCCGGAAAAGCCAACTCCCGTCAAGTCACCCTCAAAGCAACAGCGCCGGTCCAAAGCCAAATCAAAAGTTTGTATTACGTTGTAGGAAATTATTACATTTTAGGGCAAGAAAAAAGAATTGGATGTGTGCGAGACGGAAAAGACTGAAGATTGTGACCAGAAAAAACCGTCAGCCGTCACTGTGAGCGGCTCCTGTCTTTCTTACAATGTATTTCATTTGTAGCGCGCTGATCAAGTGTCTCTGGTGGCAGATACGGCAAGCACATCGACAATCTCGAGCCCTTCCGCCCACAGCACCAGCTCATACGATGTGTTGAAGGAAGTCAAGAACAAACCCAACCAGCCCACTGACATTCAAGAGATTCGCGTCAGCTTTTTTTTCTAGATCCATTTTTTGCAGATTGTTCGACTATTTATTAGGCCATGTGTCAACAAAACGAGAAATACTCCCACTAGCTTCATTAATTTTGCACATTTCCCCCTTCCGCGTCCGACTCCTTTAGCTAGCTGCAATTGGATCCACACTTTTTGGCGCTGAATTCATTAGTATCCTCGGCCGCACGAAATTCTTTTTTTTACTAGAAAAATATGCCATAATGCACCGTTGCTCTTTTCAGAATGCCAACATCAAAGAGCCGTCGAATCCGAAAGAGGTTGTCTTTTCATACTTTTCTCTTCATCAGCCTTTTAGGATGCCACCAACTGGCCGTTCCCGTTGAAAAATGTCGACTACTTCCATGGCTACATGCCGATTGTGAGATTTTTCTTTTTCTTATTGATCGATTTGTTTTTCTAGGGAATCGTTCGCCGGCAGCTGGTTGAACAAGGCCAATTCGTCTCCTACATCACCAACGTCAACAAGCAAGAGGTCTTTCCTTCTCCGCCCTGTTCATCTACGAATTGTAGTGCACGGTTGTCTCGGTGTTGCACGACAATTTGATGTGGAACTATCTGGTGCACACGACAAAGAATGGAAGATACTATGTGAATGATGCATATGTGGCGCTGTCGGTTCCGTCGTTGGTGGATGTGCTGAAGACGACCAAGACAATGTTGGAGCCGGGTGGACCCGTTTTGGAGAAGCCAGTTCCTCGACCGCCTTGGATTTGGGATTCGACGAAAGTGAACCCAGGAAAAGTGATTGGCAGGGGCGCTTTTGGAGAGGTCTGTCATTTCTCTGCTTCTTCTCCAACCCGATTCCCCAGGTTTATGATGGAACGTTTGGAGACAGCAAGTGCGCGATCAAAGTGATGGCCACTCCGGGAGCGACCGATGGTTCTTCGACGCTTGGCACTGTTCCCTCCACCCCCGATGGCAATAACAACAAGAAAAAGTACGGTTTTTCAGATAAAATAGTCTGATCCTTTTTAGGAAATCAAAGACGGAAAAGGGCAAGGAGAAGAAGGTCGACCCGGCCATTGGCGACAAGTTGGAAACGTCCCTTATATAGATATTCCTCTTTTTAGAATGATGTTCATCAACGAGGCCGTGTTCTTGGCCACTCTGGAGCACAAATCGGTGATCGCGATGTTTGGATTGGCTTGCCTTGAGAATCCGATCATGATTGTCATGGAACTTGCCACCGGTATATTCCATCCTCGATTCATTTCTATTTCCTTCTCCGCAAACAGGCAGCTCTCTTCTGAAATTCATGCGGAAAAGTAAGGTGCCGATTAAGCAGAAGCGGATCTTTGTCCTCCAAATTCTCTCCGGCATGGCATATCTCGAGAAGAATTTGGTATCCATCAATTGATTATAATTTGTTCATTTGTCTTTTTCTAGCTGATCCATCGTGATTTGGCGGCTCGAAACGTGTTGCTGGACGATAAGATGCGATGCAAGATCAGTGATTTTGGTGGAGTGGCGTTTGCTGGCTGTTAAATTGGATTTAGGCATCTCGTGCTACACCGACGCCCCTGGCAAGGAGGTCAAAGGGAACAAGCAGTTAAAGCTGGCCATCCGGTATGCAGAGTTTTGTCATTTATTAGTAGAGAACTATGATTTTTCAGCTGGCTGTCCCCTGAAGCGATCGAACAGGGCATTTTCTCGACCAAATCTGATGTGTGGGCATTTGGTGTGGTGGCCTATGAAGTGTTTTCGGATGGAGCCGTCCCCTACAATCACGTCAAGGTATAAACAAGCCTTGATTAATACAAAATATACTTGTTGCAGACACTTCGCGAGGTGAAGGTGGGCATCGTCTCGGGCAAGGTGAAGCTGCAGCCGACGCCTTGTATGGGACAACGTGATTCGGAGATGATGGCCAACTGTTTCATCGATGATCGCAGCGCCCGGCCGACGTTTAACGATTTGAAGAAGCGGTTAGGCTTGAAACGAATTTTTGTAGAATTCGGCTTTTCTAGTTTCAAGCCAAAATCATGGGGATCGCGAGTGTACGAGATGAAGGACGCGCTGTTGAAGGGAACCAAGCCAACCACTTCGCTGATGGAAAAGCCGGGGTATGTGGCAGTACTTGTTGCAGATGTTTGTCTTTTTTCAGGAATGGACAGCAGCGGAATGTGCCCGCCATCTCGCAGTTCTTCGACAGCGATCGGAACCGGAAGAATCGGAAGAAATGAAGAACCCAATTAAAAACCCCCCATTATTAACTCTACTATACAGTTGGTAAATAGAACTCGAGCGTGTAAATTCTTGCGATTGATGTGATAAAGTATTTTCCTATCGCCAGTTGCTTACTATGATTTTTTGTAGTACGAATTTATCATCAAAGTAAAGCTGTTAAATAGAATCCGGATGGCTTCGGTAGTAAGTAGCGGAAACATCTGTCATCTGGTGGGTCCCTGTACGAATACAGTTTCCCGGGACGTGGATCTGATGACAGAGTGGTGCGCTGGATGAAGTTGTGGAGTGGGGGCGGAGAGTTGTCGTTGGATAACCTAGAATAATTGCTATTTCTTGACATATTCTGTTTTAATTGGCCTTCCCTTCGGATTCGTGCATAATACAGAATATTGAACACGTTCTGCGGAAGTTACTCGTCGCTTTTCGCAATCTTCTCCATTTAAAACCGCGTTCCCTTACTTGTGCAGATCCGCCGACAATAATAGTGTGAAGGGCCGATGTCTCTGCGCGTAGCCGCTGCAACTCTTCCCTCAGCATTGCATTCTCCCGCTCGAGACTCAGCGCGCGAGATGCCACCTCATCTTCCTAAAAAATCTGATTGACAGGGCGGGGAGACCTTCGGATCGCCACTCGGAATCGACAGCTTCGGTACTGGACTGTTAGCAGGGGGCTAAACTATGTGTTTTTGGTTTTGCGTCTATACCTACCTGTTAATGATAAATAGTGTATTTTTATAATGTTTTTCCTAGTTTTTGATTGCTAGAAAGTTACAAAAATATCATAAACCTTTTTGAAAATTCGAAAATTTTTATCTTTTTCTGGTGATTTTCATACCTTTTTGAGCGAAAACTCAAAATTTTCGACAATTGTTATAGTTTTTTAGAAGATTTTTATATCTGAAAACCATGCAAATTCTATAAAAATTGTTTATATTTTTTTTAAAGGGCCGTACAGGAATACTGGGAAAAATTAGTTTTCCCCTGCTAACCCCCTCCCCCCCCCCCGGCGCTAACAGTTCAGGACCACAGCTTCTAAGCGCAACTTTGTCGAAAAACGAACCTTTAGCCTCCGCTGATCTCGACTCCGTTTTGCCGCATCATTATTCTTTTTTCGACGTTCCCAATAAGTCTCATCCTGTAAACATTTCCCACGATCCAGCTTTCCCCCCTACCTTGACGACCTCCTTGCGCTTCTTCGGATATGTTCTGACGATGACACGGGATGAAGGGGAAGATGACGACGATTCTCCATCTGTACTCGACGATGGGTTCGAGATTGACGATGATGGGGTCGATGAACGGGCAAAGCAACCCTGAACTTTTCGATATGCTACTGTGCTAAAGATACTAAAGTGCTGAAAACTAAAAATTTACTAAAATTATCGCTAGCTATTTTTGGCAAAGAGCTAAAGAATCCTAGACGTACCCGGTTGTTGTTTGGCTCGCCGGCAATGAGGAGTGGGCCGGCGGCGGAGCTGCTGCACGTCTAGAAAACGGCGAGTTGAATCGCATGGCGGATAGCTTTGGTTTTAGGGTACTAGTTTGTTAGTGGTGGAGAGCACTTTTAGCGGCGATGCTATTAACGCTATAACTACAGCAACGCAGCGGTTGTTTTTTTAGTTTTTCGTGGTTTTTAATATAAGCGGAATTATAAGCGCATTTCTTTTGATAATTAAAAATCAATTTTCAAAATACGATTTTTCTACGAATTTGGGGTTGATTAGGGTTTATGGTTGTCGCCCAAAAAGTGGTTTTATGGCATGGAATGTGTAAATAAAGGTCAGAGACGGGTTTATAATCAAAAATTAGGCGGCGGCAGACACTTTTTAGTGTTGAAATCGATATTTTATTTTTGCGATCTACAACCATAAACCGGGGTACGGGGGACACCGGTTTATGGTTGTCACTCAAAACTGGGATTTTGCTATATGAAAAGAAAGAGGATCTTCTGTAACGAATTAAGCTGCAAAAATAATGAGGCGGAAAGACCGAAAAAGGGCAGAACGACATTGTCCTAGGAGGCTGGTCATCACGCCCAGTTTTAGCCTAAAAATAAGGCTTCGTGCCACCGGGGGCCTAGTCGCTTCGGATGGGTGCGAGCTCATACAGGGTTTCGAAATCGGGGCGCCCGAGGAGCGCGTAGCGCCCAGGCGCCCTGATTTCGAAAGAGTGGAGCGGCAGCCCATCCGAAGCGACGGCCCGCCTTGCCTGACAATGCTAGAAGTCGCAGGTTTCAAAAACCCCGTCGCCCCCTTTTTCGGTCTTTCCGCCTCATTATTTTTGCAACTTAATTCGTTACAGAAGATCCTCTTTCTTTTCATATAACAAAATCCCAGTTTTGAGTGACAACCATAAACCGGTGTCCCCCGTACCCCGGTTTATGGTTGTAGATCGCAAAAATAAAATATCGGTTTCAACACTAAAAAGTGTCTGCCGCCGCCTAATTTTTGATTCTAAACCCGTTTCTGACCTTTATTTACACATTCCATACCATAAAACCACTTTTTGGGCGACAACCATAAACCCCTAATTTTCCTCGAATTTGAATTTGGGAAACTCATTCCAGGGGCTTTTTCGAGAAAAGGCTCATATTTTAAAGTGTTTTAGAATCAGTAGAAATGCTCAATCATCTTCCGAGGTCGCCAAAAAAGGCTCTTCAACCGCAAAAGTAAACGTAAAATTTGGGAAAATTTGATATATTTTCAGACAAGAAAAAACTTACGGAATAACAATTTCAGTTACGATTTTTAACGACGATCCGGGGAGAGTAAGTAACATTCATCTTGCTTAAAAATGCTCACCTGAATGCACGAGCCGCTGGGCGGGGCAATAATTGTCAACGGAGCCAAATGGGCCACCGGTTTACCGTCGGGAAACAGCTGCTGAAGGCCGAATACGGACATCCCGGCGCCCTAAACATAGTTAAATTCAATTCAGCAATTTTACTGTGATCTGATAGGTAGTGGATTGTTAGCGGGGGGTTATCAACCCATAAAGATCCAACTAGCAATTTTTTAGCGTTGTTTATTAAAGTTTTTCATAGTTTTGATCACTCAAAATTTAAAAAGAATAAAAAATCAAAAATGTTGGAGGTTTTAGTCGCTTTTAATCAAAACTTGTCTATACCTAAAAGCTCTTTAAAAGGCTCTTTGAAAGGATTACTTTAAAAAGTGAATAGTGTGTACTTTTATCGGAAATTTTATGGGGCGGCAAACCAACTATTTTTACTTAGGATTTAACTTTCAAATATGAATAATGGAGGTGTTTCTAAACGGTTTTGACTGGTCCCAAACTTGAAAAGCATACAGCTTTCTAGTAAAAAAGTACGCAAAAGAATAGATTTTTCGACCAAAACTGCCGATTTTTTAATTAAATTTGACTTTTTCCAATACATTTTTAAAAATTTTAGAGTTTTGTTAGTTGGTTGATTTTATATGGTACCAAAAACTATCAAAACACTTCGTATGGAGTTCATAGACATTGCTAGAATTCTAAAAAAAGTTCGGTCCCCACGATAATGCGAAAGGACCGGAAATAAAGCTTCAAACTAAAAGCGAAACATGCCTGACCTCGAAAAACAGGTGAAAAAGCGCACCTGGTTAAATGAAGAGACAGCTGGAATAAAGGGATGTTGGTGATGATGCGGATGGTGGGCCATTGCCAAAAACGGCCAAAAGTCGCGATTTTCTCGGATCAGGCGATACCTGGGAAAATGCTGATCCGGAAAGCGAGAGGAGTGAAAGGGACTGGAGGCACACCAGGGCACTCGCTTTCCCCCCGCGCAGCGACTCTCTGCTGTCCCAATTCCCTACTTTCACCTGACACAAACCCACACTTTCACCCACCGGCCAGCCGCCTGGCCCCGCCCCCAATCCGGCTGGCCGTTAAAGGGATTGAGAAGTGAAAGGAGCAACAACTAACAGTTGTCCGAGGTCAAGGAGCTTTGGTAATTCGGTAACTTTTTGTTCTTTTGGATTATCGGGGGGGGGGACTTCTTTGTATAAGTCTAGACATGTCAAATAATCTAATAGCAAGTGTATTAATAGTGTCTTCAGCAAAATATAACTCGATTTAAACTGAACAAACTGTCTAAAAACTTTACAAAAGCCTTTGAAAATGTCGAAATCTTCGTCAAAATCCATATCTTTAATATTTTTTAGCAACAATTTGTTCACAGTTCTACGTTTCGGATTTGTAGAAAACATTTCACAATTTATATTTGACAAATTCGATCCTAAGAAAAAAGTTGCCCCCCCCCCCGATAATCGGAAAGAGCCGCAAAAGCTCTTTAATCCTTTGGTAGCTCCTTGGTCTGATCTGTCGTCAACGTCAAATATATAGTCCGCAGTGGACCGGATCCCCGCTCTGAACAATTTCTTCAGCTCCAACTTCTGGATGGTTGCTTTTTTTGCACTCTGTTACACTTGCCAGACCCGAAAATTCAGATCGTCGACACCCATTTCAAAATCTTCATCCCCTCCAAGCGAAAGGGGAAACGCGGGGGTGAAAGCGCGATGGGGGCGAGGGTGCCCTTCTCCAATCGGTGGGAGGTCGTGCAAGCCGCCCTCATGCGATCTGGGTCACTGCATTACGCGTGTCCATCCCTGCAATGGGCAGCCGACAACTTTCCCTTTCCCCCGCAACCACCATCCTCGCTTATGCAACCCTCGAAACGCAGCAGCTTCCAGCATAGCCTCGCAAAATTGGTTCACCATATCAGAACAAACCGACATCTAACTGCTCGAATTCTTCACAAGCAATTTATCGACTGGGAAAAGAATGAGATCACGATATTTCCGGGGTAATCTACGATAGCGATTTCTAACAAAAACACGATCCTTGGCTTTAATGCGTGATGGGGGCCCAAGATTGACGGAGGATATTAGACGTTGACTTTCAAGCCCTTCAGCTGCTGGATCGAGTTGGAGAGGAACTGCTCCTTGAACTTGGCATCCGTCGCTTGCTGTTCCACCTAAAATCGTTGTATTGTAAAACAATTAAACTCGTACCCCCTCCACAATCCACTTCAGCATGAGATTCTTCTCAAAACGGGCCTTCGCGTCCTCCGTATCCTGAAATTGAACGTATCGAGCGCAATAATCCGATGAAACAGCTGGGCTGATACTAGGATCAGAACTTTTTCACAATAATTCGATCTATGCCTAGCTAAAAAAAACATCGAAGAAACTCTTATTTCTTAGAATTTCAATAAATGATCCTGTAAACCTTGTAAAACTGACACATAAATCAACCTTCGGTAACAATAAACTAAATTTACCTTGAGATAGTTGATACGGCGCTGTAGCTCGGTGGAGACCGTCGAAACATTTTTCCTGTACGTGGCCTCGAGTTGCAGCTCCATGTTCTCTTTGAGGATCGTGGGGAAGGATTCCTTGACGGCCTGTAGCGAAGTGGTCTCAGCGGCAGAAGTCTAAAAACCGAAATATGAGAATTCAGATATCAGTCTAACCTTTCGGAACTCGGTGGCATCCTTGAGGTCTTCTTGGATAAGCCCCTTGAAGTAATTCATCCTAGGCACCATTACAAAACGCCAAAGAATTGAACAAACCTGTTTTGGAATTCTCCGTACAAGTACTGGTCCAGGCGGAAGCCGACGGAGCGCGAGATGAGCAGGTAGAAAAGGATCCAGCCGGCCGTCATGTGGCCCTGCTCCTCATACACCCACAGCTCCTTGTTGACCAGGAAGGCGAACGCACCGCCGAAGAATAGATATGGGCCTAAACATAACACTGAACAAGGTAATTCAAATTACCCGAGGTTCCAGTCAGCTTGTGGAAAGGAGTGCACCACGAATCGGGGATCATCAGCATTCGCGTCTTGGGAGGGTACATAGCGCGCTCCGGATAGGGAAAGTTCACCTAAGAGGTTTTCAAATCTTCGAAGAAAAAAAACCAGGTCTCGCTCGGGGTGTTCCTTGAAATCCTTCGGCATGGCGGGCAATGGCTCCGGCGCAGACCATTCACGCCCAATATCATCAAACATCGTCTTCGGCGGCTGGGCCTCACCCTTCAACGGAATCCCTATTCGAATAGTACCGGAGAATAAGCGAAATCTCACCTTTCCAGCGCAGCATCACCTTCTGCAGAAAGCCCGGCTCATCAGAATCGGACACCGCCGTCGTCGCTGAAAAGGATAGATAAACCACTTCAATGAAAGATGGCGAAAGAGAATAAACCTTACCAGCAGCATGAGCGGCTCCGCGGGCATGTGACTGGATGGCGACCAGGCGACCGCCGGTCCGCACAGAGCTCAGCCGAGACAGCGACATCACGCAGCTACGAAAAATAAAGAAACAAAGTTGAAATCAATCGTTGGCAAACCAAGAACCGCCTGAAGAGAATCAGAGGTGATAAACGCGAAATAAACGCAAAAGTCATTCAATGATAATAAGCAAAACATTTATTGTTAGTGTAAACTATTTCGATAACATCGACTAAATCAACAACACGGAGAACAAAATAACGACAACATTGATTCATTAGTCCAAAAAATTCACAGAAACAAGGGAAGAACATAGTCTGACGCCAGTAGGCTTAGACTACCAGGCCCTGCGCGATGGGGTAGCCCGAGTCGTCTTCGGCTTTTGGCCCTTCGAGGCTTTCGGCGGCTCCTTGGCGACGGTCTTCCTAAAACCAAAACTTTTCAAAGAACCGAAATTCGCACCTAGTCGCAATTGGCGTGCTGGTGATGGCGTCAGCGATGTCGAAAGAGATATCAGCCAGGTCACGTCGGTGGCGCATCGATTCCATGAAGCGCTGGTTCTAAGAAAAACTATGAATTTTGATAACTTCTACTACCAGAATCATGCCCGCCTCGGAATCGGCGCCCAAATCTTCGGCGTCGTGTCCCGCGACGGTAGCTGTAAAAATTAAATTGCATCTCGAAAAACTAAGCATACATTCCGAATTGAATCGACGGGGCTTCGGTGGAACGATGGTCTGCGCGGTAGGTCGGCAGTTGATGCTGCGGTTGCGTTCGAGCTTCTTTGGCACCACCACATTAGTAGCCTTCTGAAAAAAGTGTCAAAATCATTGCGATGCCACACCGGTTGGATATGTGGCTTTGACTTCTTGCTGGGAGCCGGCTCGAAGATGTCCTCGGGATCAGTGTCCGGATCCATAGTGGTCAACTAGGATTGCATAATAAGATCAGCAACAATCACCAACCGTTTCATCCAAGAACTGAGAGAATTTGACCGGTGTGTATTTTTGAGGCACAACCCTAAAAAGAACATCGAGCCAATAAAAAAAAACATACGCTCTCTTTTTCAACGGGCTCTCGTATTTCTCTGCTTGGCGCTTTGTGGCGGATTTCGGCAGTTGAGCTGGCTGCTTGTCACGTCTCATGCTACTCTTATCGCGGCTATTTTCTTGATTTCTCATCGCCATCATCTCTTCTTCCAATTCGTGCGCCAGTTTAGCAGCCTACAAATATAATAGGCAAAACTCCTCAAATCCAACCCGAAACTTCCTTTGTTCGTTTGCGGTCACCATGGCGGCCAGCTGTTTCCGCTTCTCAACGAGGACTCGCTAAATGTAGTTTTCAAATAAATTATGAAAATTACAAACCGGCTCTTCCGCCTTGAGTTCACCCTCGATTTCGCTTAGCTGAACCTCGAGGCCCTTGAAACGTTCGCTGGTTGATCTTAGTTCAGCCTGGGCGTAATCGACCTCTTTCTTCAGCTTGCGCAATTCCCCACGCATTGTCTCAAGTTCGTAAGTGGATTGTGGGTCAGCTTCTTCCACAGCCTAATAAAGTGGATTATTTGCAGCAGAAAGGCTTCGTACACCCAGCGACGCCTTGACGGCACTGACGATCGCGGAGTCCTGGCGGCTTCTTTCATCGAGTTCGGCTGAAGCAGCCTGTTGCTCGGCCAATGAGCGCCGTCCCTCCAGGATAGAGCTCCACAGGGCTGCGCGTTGATGAGCATTCGTGTAATAAATAAGAATAGTAACAAGCCCAATCAAAATACCTTCTCCTTGACCATCAGCATTTCAGCCGAATGACGCGCGATTTGTTGCGATAGTTTCTCGTTTAGCAGCATGGATTCGGCCTGAATTCGTTCATGAAGCAAGGATAGAATCCATTACCCGGATCTTTTCAAGGCAATCGGCCAAGTCGCTGGAGATCTTCAGAAGGTGTTGATTCTTTTCAACGACAGATTCGGAGGCATCATGGAACTGCAAAAGACTGACTAGCAAGAAGACCAATGTACCTGCGAATCGAGAGCTTCAAATTGGTCCGCCTTCTCAAGCTTCTGCTCATCAACAGCGTTGAGCTGTACGTGGAATTCTTGCATCTCCGCCCCGAATTCTTCGACATCGGCATCGATAGCTTCCAGTTGTTCTTGTAGAGAAACCGTCTTTACAGATTTCTCGACGTTTTCTCCCCTACAAGAAAAACGTGTAAGTAGAAAGAGGCTAAATCGTACTTCAGCAAAGCCTGGCGAGCTGCTAGTGTATTGTGCTGGTTCTCAAGTTGTTCGCAGATGGATTGCTTTTCCTCTCTGTCATGAATCAGCAAGGCTAGAACAACAAATATTAGCATGACGGAACAAATTACTTTTCTGTTCGTCCAGCAAATTGATCTCCTCCTGCTTGTGATATAAGAGCATGTCGAGTTCTTCCATGCGGCTTTTGTGAACAAGTACACGCTCGCGGCAAGCCGACACATCGGATTCGAAAAGCCGTTGACGTCCTTCTTTCATTGCGAGGGCACAGTTGTATAGACCAGAGACGCCTAATTCAAGCAATAACTGTCAAGTAAGGAATAATTAACCTGCAGGCATGCGGAAAGTGATTGGTTGCTCGAGTTGTTTTGAAACCTGGTAGAGTTCTTGCACTTTGCGACTCAGCGTCTCGACCTTTGCATCAGTGCAGCTCAATTTTTTGTCCGCGTCGCCTTCTTTTGCGACCATCGTATCAAGCTTCTTTTCGGAACGTGCTGCGGCGCTCGAGCAAGTAGTCACTCTGGAAAAAAAGCCAAATTAATAGCCAAAACGGATTCCCTACGATTTCAGAATGTCCTCGACCAGATCCGGTGTCGATTTGCTCGCCTCAACAGGCTTGTTGGCCTTCTCAGTTGCGTCGCGCGAGGCAATGTCCTAAATGTCTGTTGGATCAAGCAAGCAAATCTTACGGCAACAACATTGATTTCCAGCTGGCTGAGCTCGCACTTCAACGACTCCTCCCAAATCGAACGCCGCAGCGATGCCTTGAAAGCAAAAAGCGGAGCCGGGTCAGGCTTCGTCGAGGCCATCCTGAAAAAAAACGATGAAAAATAACCACGATGAGTAGAGACAAGAATAAGGATAAGCTCAATAGAAGAAAATATTTAGCAAGAGAATAAGAACAGGTGGTCCGGTTACGCCTGCTTCTTCGAGACACGGTACGGATAATTGTGCGATGGTGCATAATGTGAAACAAGTACGACGCAACTGATAATCGCAGCATGATCTCACTTCCAAAAAGGGGAAATAGGCAGAGGGACACTAGTTTACTACTAAAATTTCCTTTGGCATCTGTTTAGGTTTAGGCATTTTGTAAAATAGATACATTTTTGATCAACAAGAGTAACGAAGTTATTCCAAAGTAAAAACGAAGCGAGAATCTCGCTTTTTGGGCTTTTTGATTGGCCGTGATGAAAAGAGAAAAATCACGCACGAATTTAGGATTTGGAAAATCGACTGGTTCCGCGGCGATACCCCTTGATTCTTCTACTGTAGCTGTCGATAGTACTGGTGCGGAATCTGATAAGCAAAAAAATAAAAATTAATCAACTAAAACAAGGATTCATAAAGATTAAATTACACGAAAAAATACTCTATGTGGTGCAACGATATGCGATTTTTATGATATGACCAGCAAGGGGGGTTGAGCTCGATTAGAAGTTCTAAAACACCTTAGCTTCTCCAGAACAGTCTCGCGCGAACGTCCACCAGAACTCATCTTGTTTTGCGCTACTTTTGCCTGTCAACAGGTCCCAGATCCGTTTTTAACGTTCGAAACGATGTTTCTAAGTCTGTGTAAGAACGAGGTTACGCCTAAGCCTGCGCTTAGCGTTTGGTCAAGCCAAATCTGATAGCTTTGTAAGTCATGACAAAAAACTAAGCTTCATTCACTCAAGTTAAGCCAAGCCCTTTCCAACCCGCTTTTCTTGGCTAAAATTAAAGCCATCCGTGCGAGACCGTAAGCCTAAATCTGATCCTTCTGCTCGCAAGCTCTGTAAGCATAGCTAGGCAAATGGCGGAACCATCAAAATGTTTACTTTTATTCGGGTAAAAACAATGAGACTCGGGCGCGGAACCGGGGTCGAAAATGGCGAGCAAAGAACGGACGGGCGCGACTAATAAGGGGGTTTTGAAAAAGACTAGAAATGGCGGGGGGGGGGAGAAAAATCGATAAGCGGGGTATTGTGGAAGAACAATATAATTTGGCGACACCCGACAGTTGTTGATCAAAAATGTGCACACACACATACATGCATCCTCGGTGTATACAACAAAAAAATGGGTACCTGAATGGATATAGAACCGGAAAGAGGGCACTGGGCAGGATAGCTTTAAATGAGGGCATAAAAGACCAGTTACAATAAAATTTTCGCCGAATAAAGGGCTTCATGCGAATGCGTGAGGGAAGGATGAATTGGGCGGTGCCTCCTCGCGATGTCCTTAGAGTTCTTCCACGAAGATCTGCTCTCGGGCGGGCCACTTCAAGTCGTTGAACGTCGATTGCTTGTCCAAGGTGGTGATCTAAAAAGGAAAAATAATCATCAATATTAGGTACTGCATGGTTAAGAGAACAAGCAGGAGGCGAAAACCAAACAAAAAACTTACATCCTTCTTCGGGAAATCGGCGTTGAAGAACTTGTACTTGTCGGTGTGATAGCCCTTAGTGTCGAGGTAGTTGAGCAGCATCTCCAGGGTCTCTGCGCGTCGGAAGCGGCGCATCAGCTAAAATAACGGCCTTGAAAGACCAGAAGGTGAGCAACGGACCTGCTCTCCGCCCGGGCACCGCATCTTGATCTGCATCAGGTTGGTCTCCGTTTCAGCGGGCTCTGCAGGCAGCAGCTGCTCGACGCGCTTCCTAGAAAAAGCTGAGTGCAAAAAGAGTACAGAAAAAACTCACCGGCGATTCTCCTCCTCAGCTTCTTCTTGCATACGCTTCTCCTCAGCTTCTTGCTGTTCACGAATGGCACGTTGGCGGGCCTCGTCACGGGCGCGGTCAGCAGCCAGGGAGGCCTCGTATCTGAAAGCAGATGTTTAGATCAAAACCACCAATCTATTGCATCTAGAAAGAAGACGAAAGCGGTAAGTAAGCGAAAAACAAGCATAGCACACACTCTTGGCGTTGCTCCTCAAGTAGGCGACCCCGTTCGATGCGTGCCGCCTCGTCAGCCATGGAGTTCAGGCGAATTTGGTTGTAGGCGTCGAGGACGGCCATCAGTTTTTCCACGGCAACTTCTTTCCCATCAGTTCCTAAAAAAAACAGAAATCACGTAAAGCTAGGATATGTTTACCGGATATGTACTCGGCGACCTTCAACGTGCCCTTCTCCTTGATGATGAGCAGGAGCATCGGGAAGAGATCGCGGTTCCGGGTGCGGAATTCGAACACTTGGCGCACCTCGTCCATCGAGCCGATCGACATCCAGTCACGTAGCTAAAAGCACGATGATGCTGATGATAACCCGAAGGCATACCTGGTTCTTGTGATCTGGGTGGGTGATGTCCCAAGGCCACAGGACGTATTGGGCGCGCAGGAGGCTGGAGACGGCATCCGACATGAGGATCTGCAAAAAATAAATGAGGAAAATATCAAAAACCCTTACCTGCGGGAAAATGTTGGCAGCGACGCTGCGGTCGTGGTGCAGGTAGAGGGCGAGCGGGCGACGCTCTTGCGCACCGCCTCCAACCGGATCGAACGCCTAGAAAAGGGAGAGTTTACCATGAAAGTGGCACCAACCTGTTGCACGGCGTCCTGGAGGGCGCCGTGGAAGAAGTTCGGAGCCGACTTGGCCGAGATGCCGCCGTTCCGATACCTAAAGAAAAGGGTTTATTAAAATAAATGCGTCCCCACCTAGCATCAAACACCGTCACAAAGTTGTTGATGGCCTCGCGGATGTCGCCGTAGTCGCTCGGGATCAGTGGGATGCCGTTCGTGCCGTTGTCCGCCGCGACGTCCTGAAAAGGACAAAGATTAGAAAGAAGAAAGCGTTTCAACTTTTTCGGGAGCGCGACAACAACACAATTGCCGGGAATAGTTAAGCACCTGGGGAGCAGAATAGAGTATTCCCATTCTCGTTTCAGATCCTGGGCAGGAAAACGAATGGGAGGGGAATGAGCCGGTGGTAGAAACTTCCTCAAAAAAAACAGTGTATTGAAAAATTGCGCAATCCAAGCCGGTATGCAGATGCGGGATGGAAGTAGGGCCACGGCAATAAAAGCACCATTGTAAATCGCACACTTTATTACAGCCAAATCAACCAGAAACGGAAAGAAATGTGGAAAGGCGGGTGGGGGCCGACGAACCATCTATTATAGAAAAACTTTCATCGACAGGGCTGAATCCAAAGCGGCCCGGGAACTTAGTAAAAAAACTCGCCTGATCCACGTCATCATAGTCCATGTGTTCGTAACCATCGTCATGGTCGTCAATTTCTTGAGCGAAGCGAGCGGCCGGCCTCTGCCTCGTCAACGGGCGCAGCACGCGGTCTGGGCCGTTGCGCTGCTGGCGGGTGTTCCGGCTGGGCCCGTCCGACAAAGATGGCTGCTCAACTAAAGCACTAATGCCACTATTTTCGAAGACAAACACACCTATGTGCGTGGCTTGATGAAATGGTGCCGGGCGGCGCGGGGCCAGCTCCGGGATGACGGCTTCTGTCTCGATGTCAGGGATCTCGGGCGTGGGCCGACGCGGCTCGCGCGGCTGCTCGATGATGTGTACGTCGTCCCTAGAAATAGGATAAACCCATCAAAGCCAATTTGCTTACATGTCTCCATTGCTGGCGAGGTGCTGCTCCACGGCGCGTTCCATGTCGAAGTTCATTGATTCGAGGACGGCTCGGGCCATGTTCTCGTCCTTCTCGCCCGTGATTTCCTAAACACATGTGCTCAAGAATGAACCGCGGATGATTACCATGAAATGAAGAAGCTGGAGCTGCTTTTCTTCACTCATTCTGCTCGCTGGTAACTGAAAAAAGGGAGTTAGCTCCGAGAAATAGAACAATCGCGCCACAGGCAAGCCTTTTTGGATAGGGAAGAAGCGTCATAAGGTTCAGAATCGGCCGGAATCGACCAAACAAATATTAGTCTTAGTTCTTCCTAAAAAAAGTTTGACCCGCGTCTGATTCGGGATTTAGCTAAAACACCGATGATGATAAATCAGAAAAAGTGTAACGGTTGTCACCATCATGGTAGCATAGAAAAATCGATTGCAAAAAGAAGGATAGGAATTAACAGAGCTGAAACGAGTGGTTACACGTACTTTTAGAGCGGCGCGACTTTTAGACTACGGAATTACATCTGCTGTCACACAGAAGACAGGCACTAATAGGCCATTGATTGTGTGGATACTTCTTATATAAGGGTTTGACCCGAGCGAGTTCTGATACCATTGCACGACAAAGAAACAATTCCTTTTGGGCTCACCCGCCGATGCATTGTTAATTAAATAACTCGGTAGGCAAATAACTAGACCAAAGTAAATTAAGTAAATGAGTACCCCGAAAGCGAAAAAAACTCGTTTCCAACCGTGCCAATATGTCTGTCTACCTCTCAAAAAGATCAGGCAAGTACCAAGTCTCAATTGGTGACTTTATCATGTTGTTGCACGAGCTCCTCTTTGCGGTTAGTTAGAATATCGCCGGAATCTAAAAAATTTCTGAGTAGACTGCCAAGTGAATCCCAGTGGGGAAGCACTGCTTCTCCTTCCCCGGATCAACGCGACTCTGCCTGTTTTAACCACCATTTATTCACCACGTCGAGTATCACAAAACCGTAATCACCGATCCAACACCATAATCAACACAGCTAATTCGTGCCACTATCGGCAAAAAAAAAAATCAAAAACGGAAAATACACATCATTTTCAAAATCGGTGACGAATTACAGAAAGGCAGGGAAGGCATGTGCAAGGTAGCGGATCAACGCTTGAGCCACTTGGGGAGGGTGGGGGCTGGCCCACGCTTTCCGGCCGGCGCTTCACCATCATCGTTGGCCCGTCGAACGACTCCGCCACGCGTATCCTCAATGACCGCGCCAGTCCACGGGGTATACACGCTGTTCTCGGAGAGCCTAGATTCAGCTCGTTCGACTTTCTGAGCACCCAAAAACGCACCAAGCCTTGCTGCGCTGATCAGCGTCCGCTTCGCCAGTCACGGAAAGTTCGGCGCGCAACAGTTCGCCTAAAAAAATCGTTTAGAGCAAATAAATTTGAAAACCGTAATCCTCGCGTGTGCGCTTCATCTTGAGATACATCGTGCATGCTGGGGCGACGTTCACATCAATCAACGACTTCGAGGAAGAATTGTCGAACGGGATATGGAGGGCCAGACTCAACGAGAAAGCATCCTTCTCATCCGCCAGGGTCTCCGCAATCCATTCCGTCACACGGGAAGCTGGAAACCGAAACTAATCTGCTAGTCCAAAAGAAAACCACAAAAATTGGGAAGGCTCGTTCAAAGTATTATACCTGGCTCATTCGAGTTGAAATTGCCCTGTATGATGCGGCGATCGGGTAGCACGATGCGGATCACGGTATTCCTCCATGCAACCAATTTGCGTTCTTTGTTCTTCATTTCGATGTAAGATTTAGGCAAGAGGGCGCGTTGCTGTTCCCGTTTCCTGAAACCACTCTGTGCCGGAAATAGGTCGTAAAACGAACACATCTTCGGCCAGCCCCTTCTGCATCGAACGCAAATCGTTGACGTTGACCTCGAAAAAGTTCTCGTCCAACTCCTTGCTTCCGCCATTGTGGCTGGTGGTGGCGGGGTCGCTGAAAAAATAAATTTAGCTTGCCATAAAAAGAAATACCTTTTGTGGAAGACAATCGTTTCACGATCTGCCGCCGGCGCAAAATTTTCCACAGGCTTGGAGGGGCCATCAGACTGCTCTGTGGTTGTGCTACTTGTCGTAGGATGATCCGGGAACTAAGAAAAATATAGATGTCCCAGAGCCCTCTTACCTTAAAATCACGCAGCGGATACAAATTTTCTTGCGGCGCGATCGAGATGCGACCATCGTTTGCCAGTCGCTCGACAAGATTATCGATGCCATTGGCGCCCTGACCAGAGAGAGACTGGTTCACCTAAAACAAGCGCTATAAGTAACTTTATGAGATTCGAAACGGTAAGGTAGGTATCCAAGGATAAACCGTACGTTTGAGAGAAGGTTGTTCAGGCGTGTGAGGCGATCGCTTTGCGGTGGCGGTGCGGCACTCGTGCGGAAAGGGCCACTAAAGAAATCAGAAATCTAAGAAAAAAGACTGGTAACTTACCTGTCAAAGGACCAAGAATTCGGGTCAGCTTGGGGAGCCTCCGGCAGGATGTCCCGAGAATTCACGGGTGGCTGGCTGAAAAGGATGGATTTTATCAAGTTTTATCGCGTACTCGATCTCCATCGATTCCTCCTGATGCTGGCTCTCGCGTTCCAGCTCCAACTTCGTCTGCTCTGCGCGCGCCCTGGCCTGGTCTTCCTCGAATTTCTAAAAAAAACAAATAACGCAAAGGGAAGTGGCGTGCCCACCCTCATCCGTTCCTGCTCAATTTGCTCTCGGCGGGCATTTTCCACTTTGTTGCGTTCAAAATCCCTCGACAGCGTGGCCTTGCGCTCCAGTTCTAAAATGGTAGTTTCACCAAAAGTAGGCGCATGTTGGTTGTATCGCAAGGCAAGCTTGACTAGGAAGGATTTATACATACCTTTCTCGATTTCATCCCTTAGAGCAGCTAGTTCCTCAGGACTGATTGGGACACGATTGTATCTAAAAAACAGATTAATCTTGTCCGATCAAAAACTTATACCTCATCAAAGCTCGCTCCTGGCCAAGGCCCATCGCACGCAGACTGGTTGTCTCCAACTGGAGCAACCCTTTGTACTAAAAAGCAGTAGCTGCAAAAAAATGCTGATATACCTGTTTATTCATATAGGCGCAGGACGGTTGAAGCCCTCCGTCTTCGGTCAAAAGATTTGAGCCGAATTGGTTGGAGAATTGCGTCAGCACGTCAGCAAGCGTTGCATCCAGAGGAAATTTGGCGGTCATACGCTTTCCATCGGCGTCCTAAAAAAAGCTTTAAAAAAGGAATCTCCCGCAGAAGCACCTGTAAAGCAATTTCAGCCATACCACTCCCCGTGCCAGATCTCTTGCTCAATTCCACGGCAGCATTGTTCGGGAGTCCAGACAGCCGGAAGGGCAACGACAGATCGACGCGCTTCTTCTGGTGGACCAGCTCGAATTCTTCGGGGACGTAGCCCTGGCGTAAGCAGGCTTCTTCGAGCACCTGAACCATGAATTCAGACGATTTTGAAGGTCCTTACCTCGCGAAGCAGCTTCCCCGGCGTGACTTTGACCGGACAGCGGCGCGCATTCGGACAGACCACGTTCAACGAGGCCATCGTCCTGATGAGGAATCAAGTTTAGAGGTTTGAATCAAGTCGTGAAAAGGAAAAAAACTTGTCACATACAAAAATTCTAGCAAATTGCTGACAAAATTCGTTATGCAATGTTACGGGGCGGTCCTTTTCACAAAGGCGGGCAGAGGGAAAGCCCCCAATCCGTTCCCCATCCCGAAATTTCAAACCCGAGTTTTTGGCGCAGGAAATGCGGCCTCAATGCCACTTTTACGGCTTTTGACCCCGGCAAAATATCGAACAAAATTATAAGACCCTCCCAAGATTCCGAAACCATACAGATTACGGATTGGGTTGTAGCCTAAACCGTGGCCTGGCCCTTACCTCGTTACGGTCTTCCATTCGGGACCCCAACGACAGACCGGCGACCAGGGGCATTTCGACTTTTCACAACAACAATTGACTTTTCCGCAACTCTTTCGGTTTCTTCCTCTCATCCAGCAAGCATTTCTTTTTTCACATATCATTTGCGATTTTTTTCTGGCCGGTTTTCCCCGTGGTTTGTTCAAAACCCTTGTTTCAGAGCATAATGCGTGAAGTCATCTCGATCCACATCGGTCAAGCCGGAGTCCAGATCGGCAACGCCGCCTGGGAGCTCTACTGCCTCGAACATGGTATCCAGGTGTGATTTTGTGGTTTTTCTGGCCCTTTGCCTTCGAGTCTCTGAAAATTGAAGACGACGAATCGAGCAGTGCACTAATATTTTATCTTTAGCCGGACGGCAAGCGAATGTCCGAGGAGAAGCGCGAGGACTCGTTCACCACCTTCTTCAGCGAGACCGGAAATGGCCGCTACGTCCCGCGGGCTTTGATGGTCGACCTGGAGCCGACGGTGGTTGACGAAATCCGGAACGGGCACTACAAGCAGCTCTTCCACCCGGAGCAGATGATAACCGGCAATGAAGATGCTGCCAACAACTACGCTCGCGGACACTACACCGTTGGAAAAGAAGTGATCGATTCTGTTGTGGATCGTGTCCGTCGTCTCGCTGAGAACTGCCGCGGATTCCAAGGCTTCCTATTCTTCCACTCGTTTGGCGGCGGAACCGGCTCGGGATTCACCTCGCTGCTGATGGAGCGCCTTTCAACCGAATACGGCAAGAAAAGCAAGCTCGAGTTTTCGGTCTACCCGGCTCCGCAAGTCTCGACTTCTGTCGTTGAGCCGTACAACAGCATACTCACTACACACTCTACGCTCGAGCACTCTGATTGCGCCTTCATGGTCGACAACGAGGCCATCTACGACATTTGCCGACGCAGCCTGGACGTGGAGCGGCCCAGTTACACCAACTTGAACAGGATCATCGCACAGGTATTTGAGTACTGTCGTCTGTATCCTTCCGTTTAGGTCGTCTCCTCAATCACAGCCTCGCTGCGCTTCGACGGAGCCCTCAACGTCGACCTGAACGAATTCCAAACGAATCTGGTGCCATATCCCCGCATCCATTTCCCGTTGGCCAGCTACTCGCCACTCATCTCTGCAGAAAAGGTATCGTCATCTTTTTTTACTATGCAATTTGAAACTTAGGCCTATCACGAGGCCAGCTCTGTCAACGACATCACTTCCGCCTGCTTCGAGACCGGAAATCAGATGGTGAAGTGCGACCCCCGCAACGGCAAATACATGGCTGTCTGCCTGCTCTACCGTGGCGATGTCGTGCCAAAAGACGTCAATGCAGCCATCACGTCGATCAAGGCCAAGCGGTCGGTCCAATTCGTCGACTGGTGCCCAACTGGTTTCAAGGTAGTTTAATTGAAGTAGCATTTACGATCTCTGATAGGTTGGCATCAACTACCAGCCTCCAACGGTCGTGCCGGGCGGCGACATGGCCAAGACTCACCGCGCCGTCTGCATGCTTTCCAACACCACAGCCATCGCCGAAGCGTGGTGCCGTCTCGACCAGAAGTTCGACCTCATGTATGCCAAGCGCGCCTTCGTCCATTGGTAATATTTTTTCGGTCTTTCCAACTATCTTTCTTTTTTCAGGTACGTCGGCGAAGGAATGGAAGAGGGCGAGTTCACCGAGGCCCGCGAAGACATGGCCGCTCTGGAGAAGGACTACGAGGAGGTCGGCCTCGACGGCGCTGATGGAGATGATGGAGCGGCCGAATATTAAGCCATTTTTTATGCTAGATTTTACTTGTACGATCCACAATTTGTGATCTCCTGTGTTACTTTGTGTGCTAAAATAAATGCCTGGATCCGACAAACTTCGCACAACGCAAATCACGGCTTTTTCCAAGAGATTTTTGGTTAGCAATGTCCGATGGGCGCGAGTTGGAATTGCTGCAATGGCGAGTCTTGCTTTAGATAAAAGTGCAGGTTTAGATGGTGTTCTCCTTCCTTTGTAGTATCGGCTCGATCGTTATCGGTACTCTACTCCCCTGTTATTACGCATTCCGGGCTTCGAAAAAGCGTGATGCTGTCACCCAGGTGCGCAGCTGTCGTTTTCTGACGCTGTTTAGACTTTCTACCGCAAATACTGGACGGTATATGCCTGTTATACGTCTTTGGAAACTGTGGCCGACACTTTCTATCTTCTGCATCTTGTGCCCTGGTATGAGGTCGGTGCGTTTTGTCGTCTTTTTAATAGCTTTAGATGTGGAAATTCGGCTTCTTCGCCTGGACAGCAACGGGTGGTGCTCCTTTCATCTACGATCGGGTGAGTGGTTGATTTATCTGTTTGTAACGAAATTTAGGTAATATATCCGTTCCTGACGAAACACGAGAAATCTATCGAATATGTGATGAGCCAAACTGGATCGTTAGCTTTCCAGCTTGCAAAGCGCACCGCTCAGCGTAAGTGTCATTAGACTTTTGTGAGGAACGTGGCTGTTATCCAGATGTTGCCGTTGCCGTGGTCAGCTCTATGTCTAATATCTCGACGGCGGTCGTCTCGAGCGCATCCGGCATCAACATTGGAGAAGCTGTCGGTCGTCATTTGACACACAGCCAGCCTACGCAAGCCGCAAGCTCGAATTTTTCAATGTCTCGTCTGTTCCGCTTCTCTGACACAGCGGTAACTTTTACCCGACAATATATATCGGGCTGTTTTCAGGCGAGCGGCGTCACAAATCGCTCCGTTTTCATCGAAGAAATGGACGATGATTTCGACGACGATGATCAACTTCCTCAGAGCTACGCTAGCACGTCGCGCAATAGAGTTCCCGACTGTAAGCTGTTTTTTCTCGCAATGACTTTGTTTTTTCAGTGGACACGCTGCTGCGGGCTGAACGCGAGATCCAGGTGAAACAAGAGGTCGTGGATGATTTTGAAGATTTGACCAACGATTTCATGGCGCCAGTTGCGGTACCCAATGTTTTGGCCGCGCCGTCGGATTCTGGAGGTTCTTTTGAGTTTTCGATTTGTACCACAACGTAGACGAGGCAGACTGGGCGGTGCCGCACACCCGCCGCGTACTGAGACCTCGTATTTCGGTAACTTTTTTTGGCTTGTGTGTTTGCTTCCGATCCGAGTCGACGAATTTAATACTGCTTTTCAGCCCCAACCACTGCCAGTCATCGTACCGGTCGTCGTCCCGCGCCGCCGAGGACGTCCTCGCAAAAATGCCAACTGAACAGAATCTCGTCTCGCTTGCTATGCTGTTCATATTGGCTTCCCGCTTATTGTCGCCCACGACTTATTGCAACCATTGATTTTGTTAGTCGTTTGTATATTGTTGATACTATCGTTCATACTGATCCGCACTTTAGTGATTGTCAATTCGTCGATAAATGCATTTACTTGTCCTGACTGGCATTTACACACAATAATTGCGTCCGCGATTAGCATGTCAGCATAGCGAATTCCCCTTTTGTGTGGAGCGGACTTATTCACTCGGGGCGGCGGTTGGTCCCACGATCCACTTGTCTACATGCGCGCCGATGAAGAACCGCCGCCGAATGGTAAGCCCTTTCTTGAGTGTTTTATGTCAGCGCTGAACCTTCAGATCAGCAGCCGAAAGACAATCCGCTCGACCGGGCGCAGATCAACCTCGAGCATTTAATGAAGTACACTGTGAATGTGCCCACCGAAGTCGGCAACCCGAAGCAGCCCACAGTTAGCCGCCAGGAGAAAGTGTTGAATCAGGTGCTTGTGGCTGTTTCGGAAGTTACGCTCTTTTTAGGAGGAATTTGACAAGAAGCACCAATTCCGGCGATGTAACTTTACACTGGCCCGCCAAGTGTACGGCCAATTCAAGCGCTATCGGCATCAGTCGGGCAAGGAGTGGTGGCACTGGGTTTGCAAGCGGATGCCGATACTCCAGTAAGTTTGATCGTCTTTTTTTTAGGACTTCCACTTTGAACCAAATGGCTAACAGCTTTCTTTTTTATTGTTTTTTTTTGTCGGTTTGACCAGCTTTATGCTTTCAGTTGGCTGCCATCTTATCAATGGAGCGGTCATCTGATGGGCGACATGTTCGGCGGGCTGATGGTGGCGATCATGGGCGTGCCGCAAGATCTGGCGTACGCGATGCTCGTCGGCGTGCCCCCGGTGTATGGCCTGTTTACCCAACTGTTCTGCTCGCTCTTCTACGCTATCTTCGGCAGCTCCAAGCACACCGCATCGGGTGAGTGCAGCGTAGTTATGGGCCCGGATCGGTAAGGATCCGCAGTAGGATCCGGATCCAGATCCAGATCCGATCCGATCCGGATTCGATGCGGATCCAAGGAAAAAAGGGACGGGAAGAAATATTCTCGATTCTTATGCTGATTCGGTCAAGTTTATCGCAAAAATACATTGCGCAGATGCAGAGATGATCTTTGCACCTTAGAATTCGCACTTAACTCGGTTGCATGATCCATTTCCTTGGGTCCGGATCGGGCTCGGATCCGCCCTGGATCTGGATCCGGATCCGGATCCAGTCCGATCGGAAAATGACCAACCCTGGGTGAGTGACACCACCAGGAAATTTCCGATCTGGAGGGGGCTACTTTTTGCCGTAGGGCTTTTCTATTATTATCGGATGCGGCTGTACACTGTTTTTCGCTATTCCTGAGACTATAAACTATGAATTTAAATTATAAATTTAGTTATATATTCAGAAATTGGAATGTTTTCTTTTACAGTTCGGAAAGTTCAGAAAGAGGCGTACATATCGTCAAAAAAAGACCAGAGGTTCGACTCTTTCTGGGCTGCCAGGAAAAAGTGTTTCCCCACATTACCTAGAGTCCTAAAATGTAATTTTTATAAATGGACCAAAACCAAGACGCGGCCAGACTAGTGACAAGACTTACAAATTCACTGTTTTGCAGGTCCTTTCTCGATCGTGGCACTGATGGTAGGAACGCTGGTGTCCAGACAAGACGCTTCTCTGGGCCCGAAGATGAACAATTCCACGGAGGTGACGGGCAAGATGGCCGGGGTACTGTGCTGCACGGACGCGGTCCCAGCCATCAATGAGCACGAGGCGGTCTGGCGAGCCGCTGGGATCACGCTGCTCGTTGGCATATTTCAGGTTGATTTTTGTCACTTCGAATCGGCAACAATAGCACCGAAAGATCCGCTAAAAATCCCCATGCTAACAAACCAGCGCCTTTGATTCTAACCCAAGGTTTTCTAGCTGATCCTCGGCGTGATGAATGCGGGTGTGTTGGCTGTATGGTTGTCGGACTATTTGGTTGTTGGATTGACCACCGGCGCGGCAATTCATGTCGTCATCAGCCAGATGAAGTCGATGACCGGCGTCCGGGCCGTGCCTCCATCTTCCGAATCAGTTCCCTGGGGTTTGGCCAAGGTTGGTTCTATCAGCAAAAGTGTTTACCTCTGCTTCCAGTTCCTGGTGTGCTTTTTCCGCAACATCACCCAGGCCGAATTGCCCGTGTGCATCTGCTCTGCAATATGCGTCGCCCTGTTGCTCATCTCGTCGTACGTCATCGATCCGCTGGTGCGAAAGAAGTGGAAGGCGTTCAAGATGCCCATGGAATTATTGCTGGTAAGTTTTGGTTAGGTGCGTTTACCCCCAGCCGGCACCCAACTTTTGTATCTCGGCTCCCTGTTCATCTACAGGTGTGTAAAGTACACCAAAATGTTCGTCTTGCTCTGTACTATTTTGGTATACTTTACACACCTATAGATGAACAGGACGCCGAGATACGGTAGGTGGGAGGTCGGCTAGGGGGGGGGGGTAAACTGCACTTAAGCCTATATTTTTCCTCGTGGGAAGCCTTAGAAAAGTTTCAAATGTGGGTATTTGGTCAAGGAAAGCCATATTTTTTTGTATTTTTTTAATGAGAAATAAGAAATAAAAAATAATTAGAAATAAATTGTGACATTTTTACGACTAGGAGTCGTAAAAAGACTATTTTTTGAAAAATTGGATCTTTGTTGGTTCTGCCCCCCGATAATGCACAAGCACCTTGTTTCCCCTTACAATTCACCCCTGACATGTTTAGGTATCCGGTGCGACTTCGCTGAATTATTTCTTCCACCAGCACCCTAGCTGGGGCATCAAACTGCATCGAGTCGGCTACGTGGCGAACGGTAAATTGATTGTCTGACAATAGGTAGATGTGCACAACGCAGGCTTCGTCCGCCCATCAATGCCCGATCTCAGCGGGTTCGAGGATTGGTGGGCAGACGCGTTTCTCATCGCCATCGTCTCCTTCACCATTCACATCTCGTTGGCCAAACTCGTCTCCAAGCAGCATAAATACTCGATTAATCCCAATCAGGTATGATTTGCTTCTATCGCGCTCGATTTCATTTTTTAGGAGTGGCTGGCGCTTGGGTTGATGCACACGGTCTCGGCGCCATTCGGGTGTTTTGCGGGTGGCTCTTCGATGGGTCGCACGATGATGTTGGCAAATCTGGGTACCCACTCGCAGGTTGGAGCTTTTGCATTATCGGGGGACCAACTTTTTCCTTACGATCCCGTGTTTCAAATACGGTTAGAGTAAGGGTTTCTAGTTTTTTTTACTATTGGCGTCAACTGTTTACAATTTTTGTATAAAAAAAAAATATCGACTTTTGGACCAACATTGAAAAAGCTTATTTTTTTGCGCTCGAAATATCGTTATCCACTAAAACAGCAATTAAAGGACTGTTTGCACCAATAGGGAAAATCCCCCCGCTAATGCAAAAGCACCTTTCAATTTCAGCTCAACCCTTTCA